GCCGTGGCTACCAGACCTCGACATGAGTATTTAGCTCCTGAATCGCATTTCTGCCATCCTAAGCAAGAATAGAGTCGAATCTTCCGACAAAGATCCCGTAAGTGCTGTTAGCGACCTCCTATTAAGGGCCGGCACGGCACACGAGGGGGTTGGCTGGCCAGCACCACGCCCGGCCGCCTTTGTCTCCCCTAGTGACGATGCTTACACACCGTACCAGGTACTCATTTGAGGTTGAATTGACCTAGGGAAGGCCCAGGACCGGTTTGGATAATCGTCACTGGAGTCGGTGGCCGTGAGCGGGACTCGAACTCGGGTCTTCGAGATCGTAGCAACGCAACGCGCTAACGGCTACGCGACCACCGCTCGCCACCACCAACTCAAAATCACAATATGTATTTACACCGTAGGAATCCGATGAGCTATAAAGCTTTTCCACACATGTCCAGTAGGGGCACGGGCTAAGAACGTTACAACAGTGTCGTTGAAGCACGATCGTTGTGTATAAAGAAGTCGAGGGGCTACATGACGGGGGAGCGTGGCAACACGGCAGGGAGCTGTGGGGGGCGATGGGACTCCTGACTCGGGCGGGCAGCACGGGGCTGTGAGTTGGGGCAATGGAGGGAGTGGGAGGGTCGCCATACAAGGGGTGAAGTAGCAGCTGCAAGGCGGTTCAGCCTGGAGGGGAAAGGGAGTGGTTGGGTTGTGAGAGCTCCATAGAAAGTTACAGGATAAATGAGTGAGTGTAATCAACAAGTTACCTATTCATAAGAGTTTTGTTGTTGTTAGATCATGTAAATAAATGTGTCGTTAAACCCGCCACCACCCGACACAGCCAACTAGTAAGGGTTGTCACGTAAACAACGTGGCCAATTCGTCACTAGTACAGCACTAGTGTGTAGTGTAGTGTATAGTGTAGTGTACAGTGTAGTATACTAGTACAGCACTAGTGTGTAGTGTGGTATACTAGTACAGCACTAGTGTGTAGTGTATTGTGTAGTGTATAGTGTAGTATACTATTACAGTACTAGTGTATAGTGTAGTGTATAATGTAGTGTAGTGTATAGTGTAGTATACTAGTACAGCACACCGGTTGTGTGTTGGAGAGCCAAGCCACAACATTTAGAATCTGAGTGTACGACGTTTCGCCAGTAATTACAACCAGCTTCATCAGGCTACAGCCAGATTTGGGTGGTGGGGGTTTTAGCGGCACATTATATATTTACGCAATCTAACCCCAAAAAAACCTCTTATGGATATTGTTCGCGAAAGCCAACGCGTTAATGTTACATATTGTTACAATTAAGTAATTGTATTAAATTGTGTTACCCATTCTGGGTATACAATTTACGCGAGTGTCAGCGTCCTCTCTTCCTGCTTATATATAGCGGAGACGTTACAACAACAACAATACAAGAACACGATACAGTGCCGGGCACAAGCTAAACAAGTCACACAAACAAACAGCACGAAGTCACCGCCGCCGTCGTGCTGCCAGGCGAAGCCCACCCCGAGGTGTATCAACGTCGTCTTTTCAGAAGCCACCTGGCGACCAAATGCTCGCCGCTCTACAAAGCGTCTCCCGTCACGTGTAGACATCCACAGCAGCAGCAAGACAACACGCAATCATCTGAGGGCGTGCTTCGCTCCCACGCGGTGCAGGCCCCTTGCCAATCAAAGCGCCGCTGGAACGAGAGCCCCGGGCCCCGAGAACAACCGCGGGGCGAGACGAGCGAGCCTCCCATTCGCCTCCAGCCCCGCATTTCGCACTGCAGCCCTCCAGAGTGAACCCTAAGAAACCGCCGCCATGACAGGTTCACTCACGGCCATCACCCCCAGCCACCCCGCGGCGCGGTTACCCCCCCGCCCGCCACCACCCCCGTCTGTGGGGGGGGGGTCCCTCGTTGCCGCCCCAGCCACCGAAAGCGGCCCGCTACCTGCTCCAGCTGCGTCCTCAGCGCCTCCAGCTGCTGCAGCGGCAGCTGTCCCAGCGACACCGCCATCTCCACCACGGCCTGGGTCCGAGTCCGTTGGGGGGGAAGTCTCGACGCGGTGACGTCACCGCTTCGGCTGTGACGTCACTCGCAAGGAAAACGTTGACGTAAAACGGCGTCATGACGTCGTCGCGCAGAGTTGGTTGGTCACGTGCGGCGGCGATGAACGTTGAAGCGGGGGGGGGGCATGCGGCGTGGTGACGTCAGGTTTAAACGTGGTGACGTTGAACGGCGAATTTGCTCAGTCGGCGTGGTGACGTTGTGTGTTCAACGCCGTCATGTCATTCGGGAGGCGAAGGTGGGTGACGTGCCGCGTGGTGACGTAGGGGCTAAACGCGGTGACGTCACGAATCCAAGGCGGATTCTCCCCCTCCCCCATGAGGCGTAGTATCTACAGAAGCCGGGATGGTCTATTTAGCGAAATTGAAAAAAAAGCGTTTTTTACGACAGTACGGTAATTTAATTTTCAAGTTTTTTAAAATAACAAAACATTATAAACGCACTTGCACGAATTGTTCTACTTTTTAAATCCTTTACATTAAGTTCACTTGCTTGCTTGCTTACGACCGTGCAAATCTTTCGGTCGTTTTTTAACCCACTTCCCGTGATCCAATCGAGCTGACATTTTGCACACAGACTCGTTGTGCGTGACAATTTATTTTCGTGAAAAAATTTTTCCAAAATTTTCCACTTTTTAGGAATTTTTTATATTTAATTACCAATTGCTTAATGGTGGCAGGCAATCATCTGACCCATAGGTGGCATCCATCTCAAGCCAGAGGACGAGAGGACTCTGGCCGCCACGCATATAAAGGATTTATAGTGAAAAACGTTGTTTTTACGGGTTATACTTGTTTGTTAAGTTTGTTGTCTTTCCCCCCGCACCTCCGATCAGCGCGGTTGACTGTGTACGGTGGCGAAAGAGCTTCAACATCGAGCAGGCCCACAGACACAGCAGAGCACGAACTTAAAGCCATCATCTCCGGAGGTCATGAAATAAGGACAGTGGATGACCCGCGCAGTGACTGGCCCTCGCCATAGGAATGTGGAATATCCACCACTATGGCTGCGTTCACTCGGGACGCAAACGATTTGAACTCCGACAAATGACCCTCAGGACGCTGATGATAATTTTCACAAGTCAACTTGGCTTTTTTATTTACATTATTCACAAGCTCCGAAAAAACTCTTCTGGGTTTTACAAATTTACACTGCTTATATAAAAATCTTCTCGCAATGACACCGTGAACGAATGTCGGAGCACATGTGCTAAAAAGGGCTATTGACCAAAACGTGGAGCATTATACTTATTTCTTTAACTTTTAAGGTGGTGTGTTTTGACACATTTGTTGAGTTTCTTTCATGATAAATGGAAAGAGACAAACATCCCAAAGCAGGAAAACCTCCTTTAAAAAAAGTCTCCACAATTTCGTGAAACTTTTCTGTCACCTTATACATCTCAACATTCATCCTACAAAGTTCATTCACCAGGGAGAAACACAAATAGACAAAAAAATATATTTTCCCGTATTGAAACGGCTGTACGCCGTATGAACCTGAAAACATTCTGTACAAGAATACGGATAAGGGGCCGTCCATAAATGACGTCACGCACCTGGGGGTGGGTCAGACATTTGTGACGATGTGTGACGAGGGGGGGGGGTGTTTGAGAAATATGACGTCACATCAAAATGCGCAACTTTAAATATAGACAACACGTTCTACTTAATTAAATAGACTTTTTAATACATGTTTTCTCCTACATCAGAGTGCAGCGCCACATTAAATACGCACTACAATGACAAGTTTTTTTTGGGGGGGGCAGAGCTTTGTGACGTCATATTTGAGGGGGGGTCTGACTTTTGTGACGCCGTGTGACGACGGGGGGGGGGGTCAAAAATCGTTCAAAATTGCATGACGTCATTTATGAACGGCCCCTAAACTGTTTGGGTTGCCAGGTATGAGTGATGGGTGTCTCCACCACATCCCCTGTGAAAGGTAGTCTCTCATAATTTCACTAAATTACAGACGTGTGCGTCTTCATTCAGATTCATGAGTTTCAACCCCCTCACACTCTCTCTGCTCCGGTAGTCATCGTCACGCTTGATGATTGTCATCCACTCATAGTCACCGTTTTTGACTAAAATAAAAATAAAACTTTGTTGGCAAATATGTTTGTCACTAATGTCAATAAAGAAATTAACGCCGCTCTTCGACGAAGCCTTCCACCTCCCTGCACCACCACCACTGTCACCAACCATGTGGAACTTCTTTTGCACCGTATGTAGCCAACCGTGCTAATCGGAGGTGCGGCGGAAGGACAAACTAAACACAAAAAGTAGTTCTGAATAAATTAGTTACCAATTTTAGATTTAAAAGTGAATAGCTCCAGAGGCTTCTTAACATCAGCGGGAAGAGCGTTCCAGACAGGCGAATCACGCGTCCACACTGCCCAGGCACAGCGAGGCGTTGGTGCCGCCAAACCCGAACGAGTTGGTCAACGCCACGCGGCGGGCGGCAGCAGCGGTCATCGTGCGGCCACGGCTGCGAGCGCAGCGGCACGAGGTTGAGGGTGCAGCCCGGCTCCACGCGGTCCAGGTTGGCGGTGGGCGGCAGCTCGGCGTGGCGCGCACGCCAGGGCCGCGAAGGCCGCCTCGAGCGCGCCGGCCGCGCGAGCAGGTGACCGGTGGCGCCTTCGTCGATGAGATGGCGAGGGCCGGAACGCCGCCAGAGGAGGAGGAGCAGCGAGACCCGAAGAGGCGCTGGATGGCGCAGAGCTCGGCCGCGTCGCCTAGCGGAGTGGACGTGGCGTGAGCGTTGACGTAGCCGACGTCGCTGGGGCTGAGGCCGGCGTCGAGCAGGGCGGCCTCCATGCACCTGCGTGCGCGCGCAGTGGAGTGGTGGGAGTTGCGGTGAGAGGAGGTGACCGAGTGGCCGGTTCACCGCCAGGTCCGACACGTGTCACAGTTAACAGTTTAACTCCATGTGTTACAAGCCGGTTGGACGCTCAACTTAGTTTGTAATCTAAATCATGTGAATGAAGGGAAATTCTATCCAAGTAGCCACAGGGTCCCTCCAAGTGACACAGAGACCAGTCACCACCCATGTGACGAGTGATGCGTTGACTCCAGGTCCTGCACGTGATATAGCGAGTAGTTCCATACCAAGTTCTACACATGACAGAGCGGACCACCTCAACAAAGATCGCCCGTGTATAGCCTTAGCAGACTGCTGGGGCGAATGCTGTGAGCGAGTAGCAACCTATGAAGGCCGGTACGGCACACGAGGGGTGGTGTGGGCCAACACGTGGAGATGTTTTGACACACCCCACCAGGTACTCATTTGAGGCCGAGTCGATCTAGTTCAACACTCACTCACCAACACACAATACCCGTCAACTAATACGGTTTGCCCGTATTCTTGTACTGGGAAATTGAGTTTTCAGGACCACAAGGCGTACAGCCATTTCAATACGGGCAACACAAATCATATGGCCGAGTGCGTGCATCGACATATCAAGGTAAGCAGCGTCAGCATGCAAGATCACGGACAACAGCATGACAAGTAGCATTATGACACCAATAATCAAACTGAATACAGAACACAGTTATGTCAGTAACTAATTTTTGTCTTATTTGTTTGTGTTCTCGCTTGTGATGGACTTTGTAGGATGAACGTTGAGATGACAAGGGCACGTGGTGACCAATAACTGTCTAAATTGGTCTGTCATAAGGTAAGGGCACTGATCTATAAGAGGTGGACAGGTATGTAGTGGTGAGTGTAGTGGTGGTGAGTGTCCTAGTGGTGAGTGTAGTGGTGGCGATTGGCTACTGTTTCTCCCTTGTGATGGCCACTTTGTAGAGGAACGTTTTGAATAGTATAAGGCCACGAGTGACCTGAATTTGTCTGCAATAAGGTAATGGTCGCCAATAGGGGTTGACAGGTATGGGCACCCACCCACACAGACACAGGCCCACCTGTAGGCACCGTCACCCTCCTCGCTGGGCGCCGTGATGTGGTGGCGTCGCGGACATTCCGTAGCCCATCACCTCGGCCAGGATCCGGCGCGCCTCTCCCCCACGGCGCGCTCCATCTCCTCCAGCACCACGACGGCGGCGCCCTCGGCGATCACGAAGCCGTCGCGCTTCCGGGTGGAAGGGCAGGGAGGCCGCCCCGGGCCCTCCCGTTGAAGGCCGTGTTCAGCTGAGCTGCGCCCGGCAGAACCGGCCACGGCCAAGGGGGTCACGGCCGCCTCGGCGCCGCCCGCCACCATCACGTCTTGCGTCCCCGCGCGCGACGAGGCGAGCCGCGTCGCCCAGGGCGTGCGCGCCCGGTGCGCAGGCCGTGGACCGGAGTGCACGGGGCCCTTGAGGCCGTGCGCGATGCTGATGTGGGGCCCCGGGCATGTTGGTGAGGATCCTGGGCACGAAGAAGGGACTCAGCTGCGGGCTCCCAGCTCGCGCAGCGACACGCGGCGTTCACGTATCTCCTCCAGGTCGGCCACCCCGACCCCGACGGCCACCCCGGCGCGCAGAGGCCGCTCCTCGGGGCCGCGGGGCCGCCAGCCGCTGTCGTCCAAGGCGAGGCGAGCCGCCGCCAAGGCCATGACGGTGGTGGGGGGACAGGTGCCTGGCCTGAGACGCGGGCACGAAGAGGGACGGGTCGAACGTGGCGCTGTCGCCGCCCCCCGTTCCGCGGGGCACCAGGCCGGCTACGCGGGACGGCAGCGACGCGAAGGCCGCGTGGTCGAGCGCCACGGTGGCGGTGTCGCCCGCAGGAGGCGACGCCACACGGCGTCGGCGCCCCACGCCGAGCGGGCAGATCACGCCGAGGCCCGTGATGACCACGCGGCGGCGAGGCGGCGACGGTAGCGGAGCGGCGCTCGCGCCGGGGCGAGCCGGGGGCGGCGACGTTGACGTGAGAGAGGCGGCCGGGTGCTTGAGCAGGCTGCGACAGGCACGCAGGTGGGAGGAAGGGCGAGGGGGACATGGTCCACGATGTCGTGGCGAGGAGATGTTCGGGAGTGGGGGGGGGGGGGTGCGCGGGATGAGATGGATGCCGGGGGGCAGGGTCGGCGAGAGAAGGGCAGCGATGGATTAGAGAAGGGCAGTGCAGAGAATGGAGCGGGAGAGTGAAGGGCAGCGGTGAGGAAGGGCAGGGAGAAGGGAAGGCCGAGAGGAGGGAGCTGTCACGCTGCCCTGGTGATGTCTCGGCGCTTGCTCCACGCGTGACCTCGCGCCAGTTAAAGGGCAGCAGAACACGTGCGAGTTAAAGGGCAGCGGAACAAGTGCGAGTTAAAGGGCAGCGGAACACGTGCGAGTTAAAGGGCAGCAGAACACGTGCGAGTTAAAGGGCAGCAGAACACGTGCGAGTTAAGGGCAGCAGAACACGTGCGAGTTTAAAGGGCAGCGGAACAAGTGCGAGTTAAAGGGCTCTGGGTGTCACCCCCCGCAGCAGAACACGTGCGCGCTTAGACAAGACGGAGCCTTCTGGTGCAGCACCAACACAACGATGCGACTCGTGTCCTCTCGCCGCCGAATGATTATTTTTTTTGTTGATTTAGAACGCCGCGTTGAAGACACCAAACGACTTCAGAGGCACATGGCCAGCGTGAAAGAGTAGGCCAAAGCACCTCTGAGAGGGCCTCAGAGCTCCCTCCAGTTGTAGAGGCCCTTTCGCCAGCAGGAGAATGAGCAAGCAATTACAGAGCTGCGCCTGCAAAGGGCACCTGGCGATTAATCGATTTAGGCGATTAATCGATTCAGTATTCGGATCGCGATTCGTGCCGTTGGGATTTTGGTTGATGCTCCTGAGACTGGAATCGATTTCTGTGTCCTAGATTTATGCGCGAGGTTGGTTTTAGATTCGTATGAGTACGAAATCACCATTAATCGAGGAATCGAAGTGAGGCCTGCATCGATAATTTTTACGTGTGGAATCGATAGCGGCTGCATAATTACAATTGATACTGTGAATCATTTTCATGCGATACACTTACAGCTTCTGTAATTCTGCACGCCACCGCGAAGCTAATACAAAATCGATTACTGAACATAATGTGGTATGGATCGAGAACTCGAATCGAAATGAGTGGATCGCTACGGAGTCCGGCGCGCCCGGGTTCCTCATGATCGCTCCTGATTTGGGCGACAGCGCAGTGCCGATGTGTCACGGATCACGTGGTTCAATTGGGGGGTCGGGGAGGAGCCAGTGAGAGTGGGGGGCCATGGGGGGGTGGAGCCCGTGAGAGTGGGGGGCCCCTGGGGGGGAGGAGCCAGTGAGAGTGGGGGCCCTGGGGGGAGGAGCCAGTGAGAGTGGGGGGCCCTGGGGGGGAGGAGCCAGTGAGAGTGGGGGGCCCTGGGGGGGGTGAGCCGTGAGAGTGGGGGGCCCTGGGGGGTGGAGCACAGTGAGAGTGGGGGGACATGGGGGGTGGAGCCAGTGAGAGTGGGGGGCCCTGGGGGGGTGGTAGCCAGTGAGAGTGGGGGGCCCTGGGGGGGAGGAGCCAGTGAGAGTGGGGGGCCCTGGGGGGTGGAGCCAAGTGAGAGTGGGGGGTGCCTGGGGGGTGGAGCCAGTGAGAGTGGGGGGCTCTGGGGGGTGGAGCCAGTGAGAGTGGGGGGCCCTGGGGGGAGGAGCCAGTGAGAGTGGGGGCCCTGGGGGGGTGGAGCCAGTGAGAGTGGGGGGCCTGGGGGGTGGAGGCAGTGAGAGTGGGGGGCCCTGGGGGAGGAGCCAGTGAGAGTGGGGGGCCCTGGGGGGGGGGAGGGAGGAGGAACCAGTGAGATGGGGGGGGCAATGACGGTGGGGGGGGGGTCAGTGCCGCAGTGCCTCGTGGGTAAATCATCTCGCACGCGAGTCCCACGTGACCTGCCGCGCGCGGGCGAGCAGGCGGCTCTGCGATTGGCTCTCCGAGCGCGGCGCGCGCATCCAAGCGGCTCTGCGATTGGCTTCCGAGCGCGCGCGCGCATCCAAGCGGCTCTGCGATTGGCTCTCCGAGCGCGCGGCGCGCGATCCAAGCGGCTCTGCGATTGGCTCCCGAGCGCGGGCGCGCAATCCAAGCGGCTCTGCGATTGGCTCCCCGAGCGCGGCGCGCGCAACAAGCTGCTCTGCGATTGGCTCCCGCCAGCGGCGCCGCGTCTCAGCCCCGCGCGGCCTCGACTCGGTCCCGCGGATTAAACAAAAAATTCTCTCCACCGCCGCCCCCCCCCCCACTGCCAAATCAAACACCCACCCCCTTCCCCGTCACGTTTATTATTATTTTGTGTACGATTGTAGCTTTTTTAAAATTAAACAACTTTCGCTGCTGTAGTATTAGCGCGTGAGGGGGGAGGAGGAGGAGGCGGCGGCGGCGGCCCTCGCCTTTGGCCACAGACCCCCCCGGCGACTCCGGCGGCGGCTCCCGCCTCGCTGGGGCGGCTCTCCCCTCTCCCTCAGCCTCCTCACTCAGCCTCTCATTGCCTCCCTCCAGCCTCTCTCCCCCTCAGCCTCTCTCCCCTCCGCCTGTCCCCTCCGCCTCTCTCCCCTCTCCCTCAGCCTCCTCACTCAGCCTCTCTCCGCTTTGTTCTCGCCGCGATTTCGTCGATTGGACGAATCGCGATTACAACTTAAGCCGACCGGGGGGAGAAGAAATTACAAACAACAAAATCATAATTATCGCTCGCCGCTGTCGACAAGTCCGCACCGCGGACGGCCTCTTGTGTCGAGAATAAATCAAATCGGCGACGTTTCGGGGCTATGGGCCCTTGACAGTAGCGCGTCAAACAATAGCGTTGTTTTCGTGGTGGGGTTTTTAAATTTTTGTTGTTCCCCTCCGCTTCGTCGAGGGTTTAGGTTAGACGCCGTTTGTATTCTTTGTGTAATTATTGTTACGGACGGACGGCCCGCGAGCGAGATGTCCAAGAGCAACGGCGGACGCGGGGCTCAAGTGGGTGGTGAGTGTCGGGTCATCGATTTCATCAAACGCCACGGTCGCCGACGAATCGATAAGTGACAAATCGGGTTGTTAATCGATATTCGTATAACCGTGCATTGGGTTCAAAGGTTGATCAAGTCGGATGTGTGCGACTCGTTACCCAAACTGTGTACCTTGTGTATTAAAAAAGTGTGTGTTGTCAAGACCGTCCCCAACCACCACCCAACGTGAATTCCTTACACGATGCCAGTGGCCCATTATAATGCGAGAATTGTTTCAAATCTCCCGTGAGCGGCGTTAGATGCTTGTACACAGCGTCGGGTGGTCGAAGCCTTGACGACACACGCAATCTGTGTCATGAACGTGGGCCTCAAACATCCATGACCAGTCTGTAATCGATAGTCTCGGAATAATCGTTTTTGATCGTAGATCATAGGTCAATCGCCTGCACAATCCGACTAATGGATAAGCTTTGAGCGACGTTATCTCTATAGATAGTCGATTACTCGATAGCAAGCAGATTCCGAGTAGCTCCTGCCCACCCCTTGAGTATGAATGTGTGTGCCATGGCTGCTGGTTGTTGTATACTGCAATGTGTTTAAGTGTATTGTTGATGTCTCGTCAAAGTGTCTTGTTGTGAGCTGATGTCTCTTGTGTGGCGGTACGAACCCGACCACCCGAGTTTGATTCCCGCTAACACCGGTGGCGATTATCTAAACCGGTCCTGGGCCTCCACTAGGTCGACTCAGCCTCAAATGAGTACCTGGTGAGGTGTGTAGACATCCCACTTAGGGAGACAAAGGCGGCCGGGCGTGGTGCTGGCCACCCAGCCCATATGTGTACCGTACCGGCCTTCATAGGCGGCCCCAACTCGCTAACAGCGCTTGTCCCACACGTCTGTCGAGGCCTTTTGTTGTTGTTGTTGTGTAATTGTTCACGTGTAAGTGTGCGCGAGCGACCAATCGCATCCCTTCAGCCTTACCTCGTCACCTTGTTTCGTGATCGAATGATGAGGCAAAACGATGAGCCGTGGTCAACCTGATTCGATAGCCAGCAGATGTCTGCGTACCTGCAGATGTCTGCGTACCTGGACATGAAACGAAAGCACCACTTTGTGAGTCTACTGCTGGAAGGCGGTGGCCCTCCGCATGCCACGCCGTGCGGCTTCGTGCGGCTAATTTTACCATAGTTCATAGGCCAACGCTGGACTGTGAATCATGAATGGGCCCTCTCGCCTTCCAAGCATACGGCTAAAAAACTATGGGCTGCAGTTGAAAATCGTTGCCTTCGATTGCCTCGTTGATTAATTGCAGCACTGGGCTTCCAATGAGCAGGATATTTAAGTAGGATAATTAAACTCGACTTTTTGTTAAAATCAAAAGATAACGGAATAAGGTCAGTTGTTGGTTTTTCATTTTCCAAAACGAATTGTTGTTCTGGAGAAGGGTAATTGCCCGAAACGCCTGCTTGTACGTACATATCATTTTAAGGCCGCGGTGTTATGTATGTTGAACTTCTTTTGCACCGTACGTAAGCCAACCGTGGTAATTGGAGGTTTGTGACAAATGCGAGTTTTAATGTTACAGGACGTGTCCTGATTATACTCGTCTGATGGGATGGAATGTGGTCACACGGAGCTGATTTCACGGCCGCTTCTTGATTGTGACTGTGATTAGAGTGAGCCCCACTGCACGTGGCTTATTTCCTTTAAAAGTTCTATTTCTCTATCCAGCGTGGATTTACTCAACATGAATAAAGGACGCACTCGTTCTCCGGTCATCTTTGCGAGCAAACATTGATGAGGAGTGAGTATCTAAATGGTTTGAAATCAGGGCGCCTGCTCCAGTTAGCAAATGATAGCAAACCAGGCATCAGACATCAGTTGACTATGATTGAGTCATAAATATCCTTCAAGTGCCGCGTCGATAATGTGCAGTCTCTAGCTTTACTGATTGACCTCATCATTGGGGAATGACACGGTATTGATAGTGCCAAAATCAATATAATTTAGGGTGTAATCTATAGAGGCATTATCAAAAACCTATTCAATTAATGGACGATTTAATTAGATTGATAGCTGATATTCAGCGTGCTTAATAGTCTGTATAAATGAGTGGCAAAATATACGCAAACGATTGCCTGATTAATCTTGTAACTGTCAATAGTTCGTCTGAACATTGGTGTCTCTATCAACATACTAAACAAGCTATGTTATAGAAAGTGGTGTAGTCATTATTGGCATTATTAACGTTGCACCCACATAACAGATGTCAAATTATACAGGAATGTACGAAATAACAACTCGACACATTCGTCAATAACACCGTGGTCTAATAAGAAAAAAATATATAATATGGGACGTTTCGGGCGATGTCCTTTCTTTAAAACACTTAAATCATTTTCTGAGGAAAAAATATGGTAATGTGTACTTCAATGAACACATCATTTAGTTAATTTTCAGTTCATCTCACTGCCGTGAAAACGCCTTCAGTAACACCGTGGCCTCGAATTGAAAATATAATCGGCGACGTTTCGGGCCATGGCCTTCTTCACTGCAGTCATCATTGTATTTGATGTCATAAACATTACGTAACTGATCACACTGTAACAACCCTCATTCAACTCGATCACTGACAGTGTCTGTCGAGTGCAACATCATCACCTATAACCATCAGCATCACGCCAGACATCATCAACCACAATCCTATAACAATGATGTTGCCCTCATCAAATACACCATAGCTCACCATCATCACAGAATTCACACATCATTGACATCGTAATTCCTTAATAGAGGTTTTTGAGTTATATCGCGTAAATATAAATGTGTCGTTAAACCCGCCACCACACGACATAGCCAATTTGTAAAGTTTGTCACGTAAACAAAAAGTGCCAATTCGTTACAAGTACATCACACCGATGTGTTGGAGAGTAACACCCACAACATTTACAATTCGAGTACAAGGTTTCGCCAGTTATTACAACTAGCATCATCAGGCGACATCCAGATTGGTCACGAAAGCCTTCGTGTTAAATTGTAATTCCTGTCATAGTCAACAGTGTCGACGTCATCAAGTGTACATCACTACTCGTTGATGCGTGCGTAAAGGCACCGTTATCCTCGTAGGTGACGTCGTAAATCTATTATTGTTATCGCTATTGTATGCCATTGTCACAATGTTGTCATCCTCTGTGGTATAAATAAAGTGGCTGATAATGTTTTGTATCTTAATATAACTCTTCACTGGTGGTGTACCACGGGTAAGGCGGGAAGGGGAGGAGGGGGAGAAGGAATGATTGGGTCAAGATGTTGGGGATGAGAGCGGACGGAATGGAGGCAGAGAGGAGGAAGAAGCAGGCAGAAGTGAGCTTACCTTTGATTAATCATGGTTGGCTATGTACGGTGCGAAAACAGGTCCCTGCGGGGTGGGCTGGTAGGAACAAACAAATGAATGGCTATAATAAAATGAAATGGCGGGGGTACGATACGAAGGGAGAGTTTGAGGCCTAGTTCTAGGCTTTAGGCCTAGCTGTAGGCTTTAGGCCGCTGTGAGTTAATTTGTAATTTAAATGTTTAAATTAAAAGCTATCTCAGGGAATTATAAGGGAATGTTACACTTGTTTAGCCAGGAAAGCCTCACTGAGTCTAAAGGTTTTGTAGGGTCCTGCCAAGCGTTTGCAGTAGGGGGCGATGTTGCTACACCTAATCGGACATCGGACGGACGGACGATATAATCTATTGTAGGCTGGTTCACTTCGTTCCTACCAGTATAAGTTCAACATACGTACGTACGTACATGGAGCAGGGTCTGTTTTCACAGGGGGCGGGGAGAGGTGGAGGGAATCGGAGTGTGGGTGGCCACACAAAGGTCACGTGATTTACCGGTGACTTGAGCTGTTTTATATTCGTCTGTGGCCGTGACCACCGACTGGTGTCGTCTTAATAATCGCTGTCCGTGTGCCAGTGGTTGGCAGACTTCAAACTGAAGGTTCTTGCCATGAGGGAGACGGCTTAATTCCTGTCGCAGCCTCGTTAGCAGTTCGCTGTCAGTGCACAGCCAAGTAGACACGAGCACTTTCTCTAACCCTAACTACACTATCCAACCAGACCTTTAGTCCTAACCCTTACTACACGAGCCAACCAGACACTATAACCCTTACACGAGCCAACAAGACCCTAGCCCTAACCCTAACTACACTATACTCTTTGGGTCTTTCAGTAAAGTCGCGTAGAAAAAAAAAATCACTACGTTTCGATCGCAACACAAGCAATCGTCTTCAGGTGAAAAAATACAGCAGGTGGACTGCTGAGGCAGGAATAAATAAAGCGAGAGAGCTACTGCAGCCATCAGTTATAAAGGTTTGAGATGGGTACAAACCCGAGGGTAAGTGGGCGGGGCTAGAGATGGAATTTTCAAGTAAATGTAAGATCGCAGAGCTCGGTATACCTCGGCCATTGTATTGCTAGAGATTAGCATGTCAATCTGTTAATGCAACCCCACGGCTACGGTGCTGAAGAAGCCATGGTATTGCTCGAGATTAGAGATTAGCATGTCAATGTGAGACGGTTCCCGCAGCAGCGGCTGTGTTAATTAGAGACATTCAGCCTATTAAACAACGTGCGCCACCGCCGCATCGAGGAAAAGGGAGCAACAGCTATGTTAGTGAGACATTTAGCCTGTTAATGTAAAGACATTTAACGCCTTTGGGTGTCATCTGGTCCAACACCAGTGGAGACTAGGCTCTAAGAAAAGCCGTCTCGGGTGTGGACCAATCAATTTCAAGGACAGTGTATATCATTATCAGAGTTATCTCTTTTTGCTTGCATTTTGACTGCTTGTGTTGTAGTTATTGCAAACCACAACACTTAAAGATGTCCGTTTTGGTGCCAGATAAAAGGGTAAAAACCTATTACTACAAGGTAATGTAACTCAGAGAGTCGGAAATAACTGATAACATAGGCAGGTAGGATGGAAGCATCACAGCCAGTTATGACATTACCTGGTTAATAACGTCCTTCCAATGATTGCTCAGTTTGTATCCATCTTCTCAGTTGAAATTGTGTCTGTGTTGAAATATCTGAATGGCTTTATGAACAAATCTTTGTTGATAGCCAGTGGGTTTGCATAGTACCTTCGTCTTGGAGAAATCAATTAAATGTGTGCCCACAGCGTTAAAACAATGATCAGCCACGGCAGAGGTGTTTTGGTCCTACCGTGTTTCAGATCTGCCTTGTGTTCACGAACACGGTCAGCCCGGCGGATTTGAAACACGGTAGGACCAACATCTCTGCCGTGGCTGATCATTATTTTAACGCTGTGGGCACACGTGAAATTGATTTCTCCAAGACGAATGTACTATGCAAACCCACCGGCTACCTTCAGAGATTTGTTCATGAAGCCATCCAGATATATAAACAAAGACACAACTTCAACCGAGAGGATGGGTACAAACTGAGCTATCATTGGAAGGACGTTATTAACCAGGTAAAGTCTTAACTGACTGTGATGTTTCCATCCTACCTGCCTATGTCAGCTGTTATTTCCGACTCTCTGTGTCTCTCTCTCTATGCCTCTCTCTTAGATCTCTCATGCTCACCCTCTTTTTCGACAGTTACATGCTAATTTCTCACATTAACATCACTAGCCCCGGCTACTTTATGACCCTTGGGCTACACCCATTTCAAACCTTTTAAAACAGTCTGCCTCAGCAGCAGACCATGCTTTCCCACCTAATGACGGACGCTTGTGTTGCGCCCGAAACGTCGTGATGTATTTTTTATTTATTTTATAACTACGTGACTTTACCGAAAGAAACAAAGAGTGTAATTGGACTACTTTGTAGCCCTATTACTCGGCCTAGTCACAGCTTCCCCTTGTTGGCGCTTTGCCCACCAGGCTTTTCACTCTTAATTTTAGTTCTGCTTTTGACACCTACGCCTGAACACCATCTGATGTGAAGAGAATGAACGGTAAAGACTGATATCAAGACTAAGCCAACATATACACCTGTGTGTGTTGGGCAAGTTTGGGACATTGTGGGTATCGTTCTCATTTTGGTGATGTCTCGTTTTCCTATATTTTTGTAAAAACCTGAATTGCCGTTATCAATGTCAACATGATTTCCTGCTCAAATGGGCATTGAGGTTTGCACACATTTCCTGTTTACAGCCACGGGCCAGTGGTGGAGATTCTGCATTTCTTTGGCTGGGTGATTGATCCATAGGACAACAACTGTATAATTTTCCTCAAAGTGGTACTCGTATCAGTCTCGGAGGGAGGGATGGTGGTTTGAGTCACGACCCCCACCTCCCTACCCTAACCAGGATTTGACCTCGCAACCTTCCGATTGCGAGCCGCTCACTCTACCACAGAGCCACCGGGCCTCCACATGTATCTAAAAAATAAATTGACAACAAAAGCTGAGCAGTCGCCACGATGAGATACGACAGCATTTCGTATTGCAGTTATTAATGGAAAGTATAGCACACAATTGTCCAAAAGCCAGGGGAAAATGTTGCATTCTTAGAGTTCGGAGAAAAACATCTGGACTCAAAAGTCACAGTGTAATGTGTATTATAGATTACAAAGTTTGAGTAGAAACACCTGGCCTGAGCACCATCAAACTAAACTGTATCTAAAATTATTCGAATTTGCTGGAGACAAACTAAGGCTCAAAGGGGCACATGAAGGCACCGTCGATGGAAAGATTCTAAGAGTAGCCGGGGAAAGGTGACCTCGAATGGTCCAGCGCAGCAGCGGCATCGGCTGCTTCATTTAACTCCGACCGTTGCGGCGTGGCCGCTGCGCTTGCGTGATGCCCGCCCGCAATGCCGCCTTTTGCCCCTTCACCAGTGAAGGAGGCTGTGACTGAAAGCCAGGCTGGAGACCTTTCTCCCCCTTGCTCCGTGACTGAATTGACTCTTGGCATGCAGTGTCTCCAGTTGTTTGCGTTTTTCGTTACGGTTTGCTGATCGCAAGCCCAGGCCCCAGAGGCCCAAACGTGCGAAGCGGGCGGCCAGCAAACAAGCGGGGCCATTGAAGGTTGTAACGAATGAGAGTCGATGAGAGTCGATGTGTTTTTTTAATTAAGCAAGGTTATTGTTGGAGCTTGGGAAACGAGATGATGGGGGGAATTCCAATCGGAGGTGGAGCTGTGCGAGGGAAGAATCGGAAAGAGAAGTGAGGTGACCAACAGTGTGGTTAGAGAGCAAATAAAGTGGGTGGTTGAGTGGGTGAGTGAGTGAGTAGGTGAGTGTGTTGTTGTGACCTGCAGTGTGGTGGTGGCTGAACAAAGTATAGATGAGACGAAAAAGTCAGTCTGGTAGACCCGAGTCCTCAACATTATTATCCTTACTGTTAATAATGATTATAAGTCTCGTGGGTGGGGGAATCGGTGAGCGCAGTTCGCAGAAAAGCAGTCGTGAGTGTAGCGATGTGACAACAACAAACAGTACAAAAACACGATAGCAGTGCAAAGTACAAGAAAAGTAAACAAATCACCCAAAACACATACAAAGACAGCTAAACCATCCCCATCCTTCCAGGCAAAGCCCACTGAGGTATTAAAAAAAATATTCGGAAGCGACCTGGCCACCACAAATGATAGCTCAACAAAGTGGCCGATCATTTGGACATTTAGCTCAGCAAAATAATCTAAACGCATGTTTCTAAATGTGGAGGGAAAAACCGGATGACTCGGAGAAAAAATCCACGTGACCACATTATACATTTTTATCATTTGACGGGGTTGCAAGGCTGCGGTTGCAGGTTAGACTCTAACTAAATGAAGAACTGACTGACTATGCAGCAGAACCGGCGAAGACGCACGGCGGTGTTGCTGCTGCTGATGTTGTTGTTGCTCACACAGTGAGTTGTTGTTGCGTGGTTGCTCCGTGCAGGGAGCGCGACTCGGAGCCACCTCTGCCCCCCCTCGTGGCTCTGAGGGGATGAGGGTGGGGGCCTCCAGCCACATTCCCCACTGCTTTAACAGAAAGCGCGGCGTCTTGCCTCCCCCTCCACCTCCGCAGACCGTGTTCGACACGCAACATGCAGAGGGCGGCAAGACGGCCCCGGCCGGCGCGGCGGGTGGCGACCCCTCCAAGCGGCTGTCGGTGGAGCGGATCTACCAGAAGAAGACGCAGCTGGAGCACATCTTGCTGCGGCCCGACACCTACATTGGCTCCGTAGAGCCCACCACTCAGGTGTGCGCCGGCGACCAAGCATTGGCGGCTTCATGCCCTGCGTTGATGCAAAACTAAAACCAAACCAGTTTATTTGTATTTTACCAGGTAAGGCCCACTGAGCCGCTGTAGAGTTGAGAAGTGACCTGGCTATCACAAATGAAGGCTCAACGAAGTGGGCTTGTTGTCACCTGGAATTGTATCGCAGCCAAATACTATAAATGTGGAGGGAAAAACCGGAGAACCCGGAGGAAAATCCACACGACCACGCGGAAAACACGCAAATATCCAGGCGTCAGGATCAAACCCACGACTTCCCGTATACAATGCGAGTTTGTTAACATCTCGCCACCGCGACGCTTATTGTCCTGCCGTGCAGACACTTGGAGCACGCTCTTTATAGCGGTTTCTAACGTTGTGGATTCTACATTTGCAACGATCAAATTCTTACGGCTGGCTTATATCGAACGGACTGCAGTTTAAGAACTTTTAATTCACCTTTATTTGTGCTGGAGTTGAACGAAGCACAAAAGCGGGACGGAAAAATGTGAAATACAACTGCACAGTTATGGCGAACTGACATTGCGATTACGTCACTGCGTTCAAATTGTCACTTGTGTCGTGAAGCGTGTAATGTCGCGCAAGGCTTAGCCGTGACTGGAGTTGTGCATGTGTGCATGGCGAGGTTGTCGGTAAGCGGTTGGCCTTGTGGCTGTCTCCTCACACAGAACATGTGGATTTTCGACGAGGACATGGGACTCAATAACCGAGAGATCACCTTCGTCCCGGGCCTCTACAAGATCTTCGATGAGATTCTCGGTGTGTGTGTGTGTGCGCGTGCACCTTGCTTGGCACAGGCGCCATGGTGACGTCACCGTCACTTAGTGGCGAATGGCGGGTATTGCTATTCGTGTGTGGTGGGGAGTGGTGGTGTAGCAGTTAGCGTGTCGTGCCATGAACCTGGCGATCCAAGTTCGATTCCCGCTCATGGCCAACACCAGTGATGATTATCTGACCAGTCCTGGGCCTCTCCTAGGTCCACTCAGCCTCAAGTGAGTACCTGGAGAGGTGTGTAAACATCGCCACCCACCCCCTCATGTGCCGTGCCGGCCTTCATAGGTGCTCTCTAACAGCACTTGCCCCAACAGTTTGTTAAGGCTATAGGGGGGATCTTTGTCTTTGTGTGTGTGATAGGCGTCATCATGTCTCTTACTCGCTTATTTGTCACTCGTTCGATAAATCGCTCGCTCACTCGCATACTCGACAACTCGCTCACTTGTGTACGCCTATCGCTCAAAAGTCGCTCACTCATTCATCGCTTGCTCGCTCACTTGCCACTCACTCTCATACCCACGCTCTCTCACTTGCTGCACATTTTCATGGTAATTTGCCCTAGGCGATTTTCTCTGCTGGGAATTTAATATTTAGCTCTGATTTAACATCTATTCATGTTTGTGCAATAATTTTGATTCCTCGTTTGATCGTGTTTTTGTGTAAATTAATTGGACATAACAAACGTATAACTCGCACCTTCTCTCGTCTCACTCGCCTCTATACACATTATTGGCCACACTCGAGGCATCCCCTCAGTCGCTCACTCGCTCGTTATCAGGCGATAAACTGTGTGGGTGCAGCAAATGAGCAAGAGCGGCCTCCTTCGTTCAAGCAGCTGTCAACCGGCGGTTTGGGGAGGATTCCTTAAGAATGTCGGCGAAAGTGGTCGTTTGAGAGAACTGTTTAAAACAAAAAGCGTTGTCTCTCGGTCCCGTGATGAAGAACGTCGCACGTGCAGAGGAGCGCGCGCGGTTTACTCCGATCCGTGTCAATTTCAGTGAACGCTGCCGACAACAAGCAGAGGGACAAGAACATGACGTGCATCAAGATCACAATCGAATCGTAAGATACCCTTCGATTTTCATGTTTTGCACTTCCTATACATGAGAGAAGTGCTCCCGGTTTTATAACACTCCAAAAAACAAATATCAGTCAGGCCCACATTGAAATGTCCGATGATCCCAAATATAAATGTGTTACCGTGACATCGGTGCCGCGGCCCTCTGGTTGTGCGTTTAAGTGTGTGCGCGTTGCACGTCTGCTGACCGGCTCAATTCACCAACAACAACAGCAACGGCCGCCATTCGCTACCAAAGTGGTGGTGACATCACCGTGACGCTTCTGCCAGACGAGGTGCACTTTTGATGTGCGCCACGTGAAGTGCGGAAGGCTCTGACTGCTGGCAGGAGGTCACGGGACAGACCCAGGGGTTGTGGGTTAACTGACTGACTGTACACAAAGACAAAACAACGATCCCTCATGTAGCCTTAACAGGCTGTTGGGGCAAGTGCTGTTAGCAAGCACCGAATGAAGGCACACAAGGGGGTGAGTGGTCAATACCACACCCAGACGCCTTTGTCTCCCCAGTGTTGATATTTACACACCGCACCAGTTACTACAGGTAGTCCTCTACTTGCGATTGAGATGCGTTACGACGACCCCATCGTAAGTCGAAAATATCGTAAGTCGAAGATGGCCTAGCCTACCCAGGAGTCTTAAAGAATGGTGATAATTTAGCAAAACAGAGAAATTTACAGTACCATACTGTATAAACTATATACTGTATGTATTTATTGATTACAATACTGTATTGCACAGTAAAATGTAAAAAAACAAGGTAAATTCTTAGCCTACCTATATGAACTGTATTTTAACAGAGTTTTTTTCAGGAAACAATCCTATACACACGCTAACACTGAAACAACTTAACTCCGTTGACCGCTGGTGAGAGTGAGGCATCACACAAGGCGGGAGATGCGTACATCCCGGCAGCGTCTCAACGTACAGTATCGTATCTCGTACGCTGCTGCGTTTGCCTGCCACGCGAAATGTAAAATATTTTACAATTTAGTCGTATCGCCATCGTAAGATCGAAATATCGTAAGTTGGACCATCGTAACTCGGGGACTATCTGTATTTCGAGGCTGAGTCTACCTAGGTGAGACCCAAGTACCGATTCAGATATCCGTCACCTATGTTGGTCTTGAGCGTCAATCGAACGCGGGTAGCCGGGTTCGTAGCGCATTGCGCTAACAGCTGTGCCGCTCCCTTGTACACGTGCACGCACGCGCACGCACACGGCAGGGAGACCAACACGGTGAGCGTGTGGAACAATGGGAAGGGCATCCCCGTGGTGGAGCACAAGGTGGAGAAGATGTTCGTCCCAGCGCTGATCTTCGGCGAGCTTCTCACCTCCAGCAACTACAACGACGAAGAGAAGAAGGTCACAGGTAGGTGGGGAGGGGGGAGGTGCCTGCAGCGTGTCGCTCCCCGTGACACCGGGCTGTCGCGGGGGGTGGGGTGCCCTAGTAAATCAAGTTTCCAGTCGTAAAACGCCGTTATTTCCAACAAAACCAAATTCTGAGCCATTTTCAGACGGATAGCAAATTGCCGTCTTCAGTTAAGCCACCGTCATCGTCATCTCTCTTTTTTTTATTGCCGTCGTCGCCCCGTGCGTTCTTCAATTGTGACCATCGTCGCCCTCTTCCCGTCAGGTGGGAGGAACGGCTATGGCGCGAAGCTCTGCAACATCTTCAGCAAGAAGTTCACGGTGGAGACGGCCTGCAAGGAGTCCAAGAAGCAGTTCAAGCAGGTGCCGGGAGCCTCCCCACCACCACCACCTCCGCCGCTGCTGCCGCTACCACCGCTGCCGCTACCACCGCCGCTGCCGCCACCGCTGCCGCTACCACCACCACTGCCGCCACCACCGCTGCCGCCACCACCGCTGCTGCTGCCGCCACCGCTGCTGCTCTTCACTCTCGTGCCACACACCCGCAGTGCCTCTGCTGCCTCTCAGTGCCAGTCTTGGTGTTGGTTGGGGGTCTGTGTTCTCGCGTTGGCTAGCGCACGCACTTCGCATGAGAAGTGAATTGCCTGTGCAGCTGTTTCTCTTTTGGCATGGCCTGGCGTGGGTCCATTTGTACTTGCGTGTTAATATTCAAGTGAGGCGTAAATATTTGTGCATTTTAGTTTTTGCTGTCACTGGTAGGGTCTAAAGTGCGGCTCTTTAATCCACCACGTGTGGCTCTTTAATCCACCACGTGAGGCTCTTTAATCCACCGCACGCAGCTCTATCGAAGGGGCATAACGTAGAACGCGCTGTCACAGCACAGAATAATGATCGTCTCCCGTGCTGTGCCCAAAACTGTCAATAAATATACACCCTTGGCTCTTGATCTGTTCCAGGTTAGCCACCCCTGGTCTAAGGTATTGATGTTGATGATGAGAGACGTGTCAGGCTGTCGTTGTCTAGAGACCCCGTTGGAGAAGGGTCTTTCTCTCGTTGCCTAATGACTCCTCTGTCGGTTGGCGCGATTCCTTCACTCAGACGTGGACCGAGAACATGGGCAAGTCGAGCGACTCCAAGATCCGCTATTTCGACGGCAGCGACTTCACGTGCGTGACCTTCCAGCCCGACCTTGACAAGTTCGGCATGAGCAGCCTGGACAAGGACATCGTGGCGCTGATGACGCGCCGTGCCTACGACATCGCCGGCTCGTGCAAGGGCGTCAAGGTGTTCCTCAATGGCAAGAAGCTGCCCGTGAGTTTACACGACAACGGGGAGCTGGGGGGGGGGGGGCGGCTTCGGGGGCTTGGGGTGGGGTGGGAGGGTTTTGGGGGGCGCTCCTAAACCACACCGATGATTGACGGACCTGGATCCACATCGTTGATCCCTTGTTCTCCAAGCAATTGATAAGTCTGCTCTGTCTGTCAGTGTGTCATTGTCTATAGAGCCCATCAGAGACTTGTCTGACTCGTATTATCTACAGGCATCATCAGAGACCGGTCTGTCTATCTGCCCATGTCTCGAAACTCCATCAGAGAACTGTGGCAGTATTTGGGGGAAACGCCAACGAATCGGTCCTCAAGTAAAACAGTTACGGGAATTCGTTATTTTTGTTGAACAAGAGTTTGTTTAAATTCCATTTCTGCTCATCATTAGCCCGTCATTCTGAGTGTTTATACTGTAAAGCAGCGTAAAAGATTGACATTCGATTTAGAAATTTTCGATTTTTTGCCAAACTAAATCCACTTTTGTTGTCGGCCAAGTTTCACATGAACCCAAGGGGTGGATACATTTCCTTTTCAGACCAAATTGACCCCTAGCCAATCCGGCCGCCTTGTTTCTGCCAATTTAGCATTTCCCCTCCTGGCAAATCGGCCGAAAGGTGATTTCCACCTCCCCGTTAGTGATGCCGTCTTCTCGTTACACCGCACAAGTGCCGTCCATCGATTTGAGCGCCAACGTATGTCTTTCTCTTGCAGCGTACAACAGCTTGTGTCGCTGGCAGCTGAGGGTGTGCGCGCGTCCCTGCGATGGGTTGTGAGCACTTATCTCTATCTTCGTGTGAGCACTGCTGGGCTCTGAGCACTTGGGCAAGGGTCACTCGTTGTGTGTGAACACTCGCTCTGTGTGTGTTGATCCTGGGCCTCCCCTACGTCGCCTCATCCACGAGTACCCGGCACGGTGTGTAGTAAACCTCGTCACGAGGGAGACAAAGGCATCAGGGCCGGCATAGTGCTGGTCACCAACCCCGTCGAGTGCCGTGCCGGCCTTCGTAGACGCCACTCGCTAACAGCATTTGCCCCAACAGTCTGTTACAGGCTATAAGGGGGATCTTTGTGTTGTGAGCAGTGTTGGGTATCTCACTTGTGCTGGAGAGAAGCGTTTTAGGTCTTTGGAGTAAAACTCACCCTCTTAATTTTCACGCAGTGTGAGTGAAATGCAACATCGCATTTAAGTTATGAGTCATTTCAAATATATATTTTAAATAAAACATCGCTGTGTGTGTGAAATGTAAACGTTGCACACCATGCATTTTTTTTTACGTGTTTAACGGCCAGCGCTGTGAATGTAGGCACGTCTGAGTGTGACTTCACTCGGCTAATCACAGCTGGGTGTGTGAAGCACCTGTGGTTTGCACTCTTTATCAGTTGTGAGCACGTTCAGTTGGGTGTAAATTCACGTTGTTATTCGGTGTTGAGGGTGGTGGTGGAAGGGGCGTGGCGGCGGTGCGGTGGTTCGCGCACCGAGCCACGAACCCGGCGATGTCGGTGCCGCGAGTCTCGCTCGCGGCACCGACACGAGTGGCGGATTATCGGTCCTGGGCCTTCTCCCCATGTCGACTCGGCAATAAATGACCACCTTTGGTGCGAGCGTGCAGGTGACCGGCTTCCGCAGCTACGTGGACCTGTACCTGAAGGACAAGGTGGACGAGACGGGCAACATGCTCAAGGTGGTGCACGAGGTGGTGGGCGAGCGCTGGGAGGTTTGTCTTACCGCTAGCGACAAGGGCTTCCAGCAAGTCAGCTTCGTCAACAGCATCGCCACCACCAAGGTACAGCGAAGCTACGCGCGGTGACTCCGCAACCACCGCCACCACTGGCACCATCACCGTTACCATCACCGCCACCATCACCGCCACTGCAGATGCGAATGACCGTCGTCAGTATTACCACAAGCGTCACCTCTACCCCTGTGACCACAACTGTGACCGCTCCCTTCGTGAACGTGGCCTCTACCAGCAGTATTGCCACTGGCCAGCTTGACGACCGCTATTGCCACCTCCTTTGTGAACGGTACCATCCATATTACCATCGTCGCCATCATTGGTACCTCCTTCATGAACACTACTGTCACCGCCAGTGCTACGTATCACCACCGTGACAACTCTATCGATACATCATGTGAAAGCCTCCGTGTTAAACAAACTCTTTCACAAACACCACCAACATTACTAGTGCCATTACCTCCTGCATCATTCACTCTACCATCATCACCACCAGCATTAGCACAACCACCAATAGAATTAGCACCTGCAAACTTGCCCAAGTGTGCCGTGGCCTACTTGCACCTGTACCTAACTTTTGACTGGCGCCTCTTGCTCTCGTATTATATTTGCACAGTTTTTTTTCGATTCATGTGTTTCGTATCCGACCGTTAATTCCTCGTTTATTGGTTGTGCAATATCCCTTCAGTACCCTCTGCAATGTCGATGTTTTTGTTGTTGTTGCTGCTGCTGTTGTTGCTGTGCTCACGCAGCACTGCGGATCTTCCGTTGTAAATATCTGTGCAACTTGGGGCTCGGTCTGACATCATTCGCATAATGGCTAAATTGGACCATCCGTGTAACAAAGCAGATTAATTTAAACTTATCGCCCGTACTATGTTGTCTCCTCCTCCTCCCCCCCACCCCTGCTGCTGCCGTTCCCCCCCCCTCCCCACATCAGGGCGGCCGCCACGTCGACTACGTGGCCGACCAGGTTGTCGCCAAACTCATCGAGGTCGTCAAGAAAAAGAACAAGGCCGGGGTGCTTGTGAAGCCCTTCCAGGTGAGCACGCCTCTCCCACCTCGCTTCCACCCTGCTCCCACCCCGCTCCCACGCCGCTCCCACGCCGCTCCCACCCTGCTCCCACCCCGCTTCCACCCCACTCCCACCCCACTCCCACGCCGCTCCCACGCCGCTCCCACCCCACTCCCACTCTGCTCCCACCCTGCTCCCACCCCGCTCCCACGCCGCTCCCACGCCGCTCCCACCCCACTCCCACGCCGCTCCCACGCCGCTCCCACCCCGCTCCCACCCGGCTCCCACCCTGCTTCCACGCCGCTCCCACCCCGCTCCCACGCCGCTCCCACCCCGCTCCCACCTGGCTCCCACCCTGCTTCCACCCCGCTCCCACCCGGCTCCCACCCTGCTTCCACCCTGCTCCCACCCTGCTTCCACCCCGCTCCTACGCCGCCCCCACGCCGCTCCCACGCCGCTTCCACCCCGCTCCCACCCCGTTCCCACCCCGCTCCCACCCCGTTCCCACCCCGCCCCTACCCCGCTCCCACCCCGCTCCCACTCCGCTCCCACTCCGCTCCCACCCTGCTCCCACGCCGCTCCCACCCGGCTCTCACCCTGCTTCCACCCCACTTCCATCCCGCTCCCACCTCCCACCTGCACACGAGGGTTCACCTACTCTTCTTGTTTTTTGTTTGCCGCGGTGGCGAGATGTTAACTACCTCTCCTGGTATGGAGGAGGTTGTGGGTCTGTTCCCCACCCTGACGCCTGCTGTACATTTGGAGTTTACGTGTCTCTCTCTCTCCCCCTAGTTGCATGTATTTTTCTCCGGGTCCTCCGGTTTTTCCCTCCACATTTAGTTAGTATTTGACTGCTGTAAATTTCCATGTGATAAGCCACTTCGTTGAGCTGTCATTCGTGATAGCCAGGTCGCTTCTGAAAAAGAGCTTCATAGCTCAGTCGGCCTTACCTGGTAAAATAAAAAATAGTTTAATAGTTTAGTTTATACTCTTAAGTTCTTTCGGTAAAGTCATGTAGGTAGAAATAAAAGAAAATAAATCACGACGTTTCGATCGTATTTACTTCAGCAGTTTTTATTTGCTGTCGTTGTCCCACCTGATGACGATTGCTTTTCTTTTATTTCTACCTACGTGACTTTACCGAAAGAACCAAAGAGTGGATTCCTGCAGTCACGAAAGCTTCAAATCAAGATAGTTTAGTTTAGTTTGTTCTGGATGATGGCAAAGAAAATGGCACGCCGCTGAATGTGGAGCGGCAGTGGCTACCTCCCATGTGTGTGCGTGAGCCAGCGCATGCCTCTGTGTTTGATAGTGTATAACGTGTGTGTGTGATTGTTTGTACGTGTGCCTGTTCGCGTGCGTTTTCCCGTGTGTATATATGCCTGTGTGTGTGTGCCTTTGTGCATTTGAGTGTCTCTGTGCACCTGCGTGCATGTATGCCCTTTTGACTGTTCGTGTGCACCTATGCTCGTGTGCCTCTGCCTTTGCGACTGCATGTGTCTATGCCTAGGTGCCTGTGTCTATGTGTGAATGGCGTAAAAGATTGACATTCGATTTAGATATTTTATATTTTTTTGCCAAACTATATCCACTTTTGTTGTTAGCCGAGTATATGTGAATGGCTGTGTGTGGCTTTGTTCCTGCGTGTGCATCTCCGTGTGCCTGCGTGCCTCTGTGTGCAGGTTAAGAACCACATCTGGCTTTTTGTGAACTGCCTGGTGGAGAACCCGACCTTCGACTCCCAGACCAAGGAGAACATGACGCTGCAGCACAAGCGTTTTGGCTCGACGTGCCAACTCTCGGAGAAGTTCACCAAGGCGGTGAGCCCGGCTCGCTCGCTCACTCGCACGCGTGCGCCCGTTTGTGCTTGTGTGTGTGTGTGCTACCCCATGGGAGCGGTAGTGCAGCGGTTAGCGCTGCCCTACGAACTCGGCAGCCCGAGTTTGATTCCCGCTCACAGCCAACACCAGTGACGATTATCTCAAATGAGTACCTGGTGCGGTGTGTAAACATTGCCACTAGGGAGACAAAGGCGGTCTGGGCATGGTGTTGGCCACTCACCCCTTGGTGTGCTGTACCGGCCTCTATAGGTGCTCGCTAACAGCACTTGCCCCAAAAGTCTGTTCAAACTATATGGGGGGTCTTTGTCTTTCTTGTGCTGCCCCTGTGGGGGGTGATGGTGTAACGGTTAGCACGCTGTGCTCCGGATGAGTACCTGGTGCGATGTGTAAACATCGCTACTTAGGGCGGTCGGGCATGTTGCTGACCACCCCACCTCCTCGTGTGCTCTGCTAGCCGTCGTAATGTGCTACTCGCTAACAGCACTTTCTCCAATCGTCTGTTAAGTCTGTAAGTCTGTCTGTTAAGTCTGTAAAGCCTACGTGTTAAATTGAAGGGGGATCTTTGTCTGTTCCACCTCTGCCCTCACCAAGTGGTCGCCAAAGGGGACACATTAGTTGGCTGTCGCATCACTTTCTCTCTGCTACTGCTCTTACTCAGAGCTAGAAATCATTGTTATCTGGAGGTAGGCCGACTTCTAAATAGGTCTCAGAACAACAGTGGCAGATGGATAGACGGGTTGTCTGATAGGGGTCCGTAGACAATGAGGGCATCCTCTTCTATTCGCTCACCGCTGCCGCCGTTCTCGCGTCGTCTTCCACGCAGGCCACCAACTGCGGCATAGTGGAGAGCATCCTGAACTGGGTGAAGTTCAAGGCTCAGACTCAGCTGAACAAGAAGTGCTCCTCGGTGAAGCACTCCAAGCTGCGGGGCATCCCCAAACTGGATGACGCCAACGATGCCGGCGAGTGTCCACCCCCTCACCGCTTACCCCCCCAAACATCTTTGTGTCAGCGGAGAGTGGTTTCTGAGCCGGTCCCGGGGCACCCACGGTGGTGAGATGTTCACTACCTCGCCTGGTGTACGGGAGGTCGTGGGTTCAAACCCGACCCTGACGCCTGCTGTATATTTGGAGTTGGCATGTTCTCCCCGTGAATGTCCATACATTCGAGTGTGTGTGAAAATGTCTGTACGTGAGTGCGAATGTCCGTACGTGCGTGTGTGTGTAAACGTACGCGCGTCTGCGGTCGTCGTTGTGCAGGAGGGCGCAACTCCCAGAGCTGCACGCTCATCCTGACGGAGGGCGACTCGGCCAAGACTCTGGCCGTGTCGGGGCTGAGTGTGGTTGGGCGCGACCGCTACGGAGTCTTCCCCCTGCGCGGCAAGATGCTCAACGTCCGCGAAGCGTCGCACAAACAGGTTCTGCTCGATCGCTCGTTCCCATGGAACTCTCGCTCCAGAGACTGGTCCACTCCGTTGTAAACACTCTCAGTTCTCTCGTCTCTCTCTGTCTCTCCTCCTGTGATTTACCTTCTACGCTGGGAATCTCTTGTGTTTGTTCCCACGAGACCTTTGCCCGTGACCTCGTTCATTCATTCGTCACGCGTCGTCAGCGAAGGACCGTTGCGTCAAAACATTTGACCTCTCGCGACGACATTTTCTTAAATTTCTCTTGCTGCCATACACCGGCGTCTCGAATGATTTGTTTTGATCCACGTATCACAGGGGTGGGGCGCTTTGAGAGTCGCGGTCCTCATTTCGAACGTTGACCGCCAACCAACGTGCGCACAATTTTCTTTGAGACGGGGAGACGTGTCCACCAAGTGACGGCAGTATCTCTCGTTTTTTCTTTCTCAGATCATGGAGAACCAGGAGATCAACAGCATCATCAAGATCATGGGCCTGCAGTACAAGAAGAGCTACGAGGACGCCGAGTCCCTGCGCTCGCTCCGCTACGGCAAGCTCATGATCATGACCGATCAGGTGAGCTGCCACCAGGGGTCGGGCGCTCGCCGGTTGCACTCGGCGGACACTCGGCCCAACGTCGAAACGCTAGAGAGGTTCAAAGTTGAAACTGAAGAGTTGAAGAGTTTGAGCTCTTTACCTGGCCGGGTGTCTCATCGGCAGAGTGAGTGGCTCGCGTTCGAAAGGTCACGAGTTCCTGGCTTGAGGGAGGTTGACTCATCCCATCCTCGTCTCTGGGGTCGATAGAATAGGTACCACTTTGTGGGGAAGTCGACAGCGGTTAGCCTGTGGTTAGACTCACCTCCGTCACAGGAACGTGGAATTTCCCCCCCCCCTCACCCGCTGACTGGGGTGTGAACAGAAGATGCTCCGTGTGAGCAGGAAGTCGCTCTTGGCTCGTTGGCGCAGAGGCAGACGGCCTTTTTTTCTTTCTCGCCATCTAGGACCAGGACGGCTCCCACATCAAGGGGCTCCTCATCAACTTCATTCATCACAACTGGCCCTCGCTGCTCAAGCACCACTTCCTGGAGGAGTTCATCACGCCGCTGGTCAAGGTAGGTGGGTGCGCGACGTTTGTGTCACGTTAAAACAAGTTGGGAAGTGATCGCGTGGACGCGTGGGTTATTGTTGTCCTTGTAATATTTGCGCGCGTTCGGGGCACTCGCTTCAATGCCTTGGCAGCTCAAAGCGCCTTCAGTCACATTTCATAGAAACGTAAATCAACATTTATAACAGGCAGCTCATAAAAAGCCAGATGTGGTTCTTCACCTGCAAACAGAGGCACACAGGCACACGTAGATGCACACGCAGGAACAGTCACACACAGCCGTTCGCACATACACACATGCAAAGGTACATAGGCATAGACACACGAAGTTGGCGCGGGACTGAGTAAAAGGACTATTAACCCTTTTTCTTCCGTTTCCATACATCATGATGTAGAGTACATCATGGGAATAAAATTGGAAGACAAACTGAAATAAAATAACTTAATTGGCACCGAGGCTTCCACAAGGCCATGCGGGAAGGCGTTTGGGGCACAGTTTGGTGCCAGCTATCGTAGAGTGCGGTTGTGTCTTTACAGTTCTCTGCGGTGAGTACAGTGTCTTTGAAAAACTGCGCTACTACACCTCTCTAAATAAATTTAACGCCGAACCGCTCGCGCGTTCCAACATTCATCGGTGAACGGGTACACCCACACCCTGCAACTTGCAGACATCTCGGAATGGGCGAGGGTTAAACAACAACAATAATAATCATCAGACCTTTGTGAATTGACCGAGCCACCCGGCCCCACTCGTTCGCTCGGTCTCCCACCGCCACCTCTCCTTCCCCACCGCCCCCCCCCCCCCCCCCCTGAAACGCAGGTGTCCAAAAACAAGCAGGAGCTGCCCTTCTACAGCCTGCCCGAGTTCGAGGAGTGGAAGAAGGGCTCGGAGCTCAACAAGACCTGGAGAGTGAAGTACTACAAAGGTCTGAAGGCCTCGCTGCCACCCCGCTAGACTCGTTCTCACGCTGTGTACATTATTAGGCATTATATACAGTCGGACTCTCGATTATCCGCGTGTGCGGTTTATCCCATTTGTGGATTAACCGCGTACCTGAGATTTTTATGTAGATTAATAACTCGTGGATTTTCCACTAAGCACCAAATTTAGAATCTTAAAGTTCTACTTTGTTATTCTTGTAAATGTTTATTACAAGTCACGTGCTTAAACCGAACAAATTTGTTTCTACGGTTAAACCGAAATCCGCGTGATCGCCTCTACGAAACAATAGTTGCATATGTTTACAACAGTGTGCGGAGTTTGATTGATGTTTATTGGCGTGGCTCTGTCCACTTGGTGGACCAAGTCTTCTATGCAGGAGCAGGAAAGTGTTATCACTGAGCACGCGCATCGATCGATCATGAGGATTCATTCTAAATTGTGCTTCGGTTTGAGTTTAATTTACGAAACTGTGTGGTGGCAGAGACACTTAAACATAATTTCTACCTATATTCGTGTTTTCTTGGAGATCAAGCGGAAAATAATTTTGGATTATCCTTGATTTTGAATTATCCGCGGCCGTCCTCCCCGTGATTAGCGCGAATAATGGAGAGTTTTACTGTGTATAATGTTTTAAACGTGGCACACCACGCGTGGAAATGTGCAGAAAGAGTCAGGGGTGTAACAATGCATGGGGAAATAGAGAACGAAACGAATGGGGAAGGAAAAGGAGGCCGGGAAGGAATTCCCCAAGACGGACAAAGAGGAGAAGGGCACGGCTCAAGATGAGCAGCAGGGAGAGTGAAGGAGCAGCGTGTGGGTGCAGGAAGGCGAGTAGGAGGGGAAGGTGGAATGACCGAGCCAAGATATCTGGGATGGATGATGATGAGAGGGGAGGAATGAGAGGGAGAAGAGAGAAGGACGGAGCGAGTAAACGTGAGCTGCGGCGTGTTGCTTCGACGGGGCGGTGGGGAGAGGGGAGGGATTGAGAGTTGGGGGGTCCCCACACAGACAGAAGTTGTGTGATTTACAGGCGGCTTGAGCTGACTATAAGAGATGTACTTAAGATGCTTGTTTACCCAGGAAGAACTCTCAAACAACTTTCAGGAGGGTCCTGCCAAACATTCACAGGAGAGGGTAACGAATCTGAGTGTTTCACAATTAAGCATTTTGTGATTTTTTTTTCTTCGGATTTTGGCCAAATTGGACTGTGATGCTGGCACACAATGGCGTATTCTTTGTGGAGAAAAAAACACCAGATCTATCATGTCAGCAGCGAAGTAGACGGCGCTTCATATCTCACTGATAATGCACCCGCAGTATTAACCAGGTCGGACTTCCAGATTCGAACCGTGAGCCTCTGCAGCAAGCGGTGAATGCGCGGTTCTGGCTCTCAGTATCATTGTGGCAACGGCCATTATAAACCACCATTGTGCCCCCCCCCCCCCCCCCCCGCCAGGTCTGGGCACGAGCACGGCGAAGGAGGCGAAGGAATATTTTGCGGAGATGGAGCGGCACCGCATCCCCTTCCGCTACATCGGCACCGAGGACGACAACGCCATCACTCTGGTGCGACCCTCACTCGGCTGCTCGCTCGCTCACTCGCTAGCTCAGACGCTTGCTCATTCACTCACCTGCTCGCCCACTTATTAGCTTCCTTATCCACTTGCTTGCTCACTTTTTTATGTGCCTATCTACTCGATCACTCACCCACTGATTTGTTCACTTACTCACACGAACGCTCACACACTCGCTTGCTCCCTCGTTAACTCATTCACTCACTCGCCCGCACACTCTCTCCTACTCATTAGCTCCTAATTTTGCTCACTCGCTCTCCCCTCGCTCGCTTGCTCGCTCGCTTACTAGTTGGTAAGAGCGATCCTTGAAGTACAATTCAAATTTATAATACCAGAAAACAGTGATGGTGGGCAGCTCTTGTATCGTTGATAACTCAACACGTATATCATGTTTCGGGAAAAATGGCCATACATTTACGTGCTATGAAAAAGGGGTATTACCCAAAACGTTGCCTCTTTCATACATTTTCTTTTTTTAAGTATTGTTGATGAATGTGTAAAGTTTTTTGTAATAATTTACTTGTGCACCACCATGCAGCAGGCACCCTCACCCTCACCAGTTAATTTCTTGAACTCTTAGAGATAGCTGTCCACTTTATAACTCTGGGATTTGGCAGAAGGAAGGAAGCAATGGCGAGGTGTGGAGGCGTCAATAATTAAAATGATTATCAAAAAGAATCTGTCCAGGAGAGGCACACGGAGTCCCAGGACTCAGTGCGACATTAGGTGTTTATCTGAAGATGTTTTTGGGCGATTGTGTTTATGCGCATGGGGAGGAAACCGGAGCACCCGGAGAAAACTCCACGCATGCTCATGAGGGGAGTGCGGGGTGGGGGCGGCGGGGGGCAGCACGCCACCCTGGTACGCATGGACATAGATGGATGGGGACTGGTCGACGCTCTTGGCTGTGGTGACCTCTTGAACTTAACCGCCGGAATGGCACTTCGCTGTGATTCGCTGTCTTGGCTCTTTTTGTCCCCCACTTTCCCCCCCCCCCACCACCGTAGGCGTTCAGCAAGAAGAAAGTCGACGACCGTAAAGAGTGGCTCACCAACTGGATGGAGGATCGCAGGCAGAGGCGGTTGCACGGGCTGCCCGAGGTGGGGACGGGCGAATGTTCGTGTCAATTTTCTCAAGTTGATCTTGTTGAACAGCCAGGGCTGAGAACTCGAGATACCGGGATGAGAGTGATGACCTGGGTCAACAAGAGAATTACAAAAGAATAAGAAGCGGATTATTAAATGGAGTACAGCGACGAAGCCAGGCAGAATCAGCACAAGAGCGAGCTGTGTTGCTTTGGGCAAAAAAAAAAAATTAGAAAATTTTGCACAGACCCAAATAGTTGTCAAATCAAAGTTAAATATTTTATTCCATGCAGTGCAAAGTCAGCTCAAGCAGATTATTAATTAACTGGTCACAGAATTTTTACAAAATTAAGTTACGGAAACATTAAACGGATACAAGGTGACGATTTGGCTTTCTTTGGTCTGGCACTGGTGAGACTAGGCCCTAAAGAAGACTTTGGTGTAGGCCAATCAGTTTCAAAGACAATGCATATGTAGTGACTAATTTGGAGATGATGAAACCTGGAGGCACTTATTTATTAACGAGCACCATCGGGGTTAACACATTTAATATTTAGTCCGTCTATTGTCGGCGACGCTACTTAGTTAGAACAGTTGGTGGGCTGTCTGACTGGCGGCGCCCCGAGATGGTAAAGATGGAGACGACGACGAGAAGGACGCTGAAGACGACGAGAAGGACGCTGAAGATGACGAGAAGGACGGTGACGACGACGAGAAGGACGCTGAAGACGACGAGAAGGACGGTGAAGACGACGAGAAGGACGGTGAAGACGACGAGAAGGACGGTGACGACGACGAGAAGGACGGTGAAGACGACGAGAAGGACGGTGAAGACGATGAGAAGGACGGTGAAGATGACGAGAAGGACGCTGAAGACGACGAGAAGGACGGTGAAGACGACGAGAAGGACGGTGACGACGACGAGAAGGACGGTGAAGACGATGAGAAGGACGGTGAAGATGACGAGAAGGACGGTGAAGACGACGAGAAGGACGGTGACGACGACGAGAAGGACGGTGAAGATGACGAGAAGGACGGTGAAGACGACGAGAAGGACGGTGACGACGACGAGAAGGACGGTGAAGATGACGAGAAGGACGGTGAAGATGACGAGAAGGACGGTGAAGATGACGAGAAGGACGGTGACGACGACGAGAAGGACGGTGAAGACGACGAGAAGGACGGTGAAGACGACGAGAAGGACGGTGACGACGACGAGAAGGACGGTGAAGACGACGAGAAGGACGGTGAAGACGACGAGAAGGACGGTGACGACGACGAGAAGGACGGTGAAGACGACGAGAAGGACGGTGAAGACGATGAGAAGGACGGTGAAGACGATGAGAAGGACGGTGAAGACGACGAGAAGGACGGTGAAGATGACGAGAAGGACGGTGAAGACGACGAGAAGGACGACGACGACGACGAGAAGGACGGTGAAGATGACGAGAAGGACGGTGAAGACGACGAGAAGGACGGTGACGACGACGAGAAGGACGGTGAAGACGACGAGAAGGACGGTGAAGACGACGAGAAGGACGGTGACGACGACGAGAAGGACGGTGACGACGACGAGAAGGACGGTGACGACGACGAGAAGGACGGTGAAGACGACGAGAAGGACGGTGAAGACGACGAGAAGGACGGTGAAGATGACGAGAAGGACGGTGAAGATGACGAGAAGGACGGTGACGACGACGAGAAGGACGGTGAAGATGACGAGAAGGACGGTGAAGACGACGAGAAGGACGGTGACGACGACGAGAAGGACGGTGAAGACGACGAGAAGGACGGTGAAGACGACGAGAAGGACGGTGACGACGACGAGAAGGACGGTGACGACGACGAGAAGGACGGTGACGACGACGAGAAGGACGGTGAAGACGACGAGAAGGACGGTGAAGACGACGAGAAGGACGGTGAAGATGACGAGAAGGACTGTGAAGACGACGAGAAGGACGGTGACGACGACGAGAAGGACGGTGACGACGACGAGAAGGACGGTGACGACGACGAGAAGGACGGTGAAGATGACGAGAAGGACGGTGACGACGACGAGAAGGACGGTGACGACGACGAGAAGGACGGTGAAGATGACGAGAAGGACGGTGACGACGACGAGAAGGACGCTGACGATGGACTTGAGCAGCACGACGGGGATCCCACTCCAACAACAGCCCCGAGGTCCCCACAGGGGCCCCTCTTACGCTGTCAACGTGGCCTCGCTCCGCCCCGGCCACGTCCCCGTTCTGGAACCTACCAGCGGGTTCCTGGTGGGCCCCTTCTGTGACCTTTCCTCGAGATCCCCCCTCTCGTCTCTCTCCTGGCCTGCTGACGTCAGAACTGCCGTACGCCGCAGATCCCCTTTTCAGCCAGCAGCCGGCGCTATGCCAGGACACATTATCAGAGCATGTTTGTTTGCATGTTCAACACCGGTACGTGTGGTTCATGCAGTACTTGATTCCTTACTAAATGTCTCTTGGTGATTGAACATCTTAACACCTCGTGTTGTATTGCCACAAAGGGGAAAACCTATTCTTATTTTGTTCAGAGGGTTACTGTTGTTCTTGTATGCCAACAGACACAGATATATACGATGTGAAATGCAAATGCAGGTGAAATGTTACCATTGTAAGAATTAACGAATTGGCATAAAACTGTCATTTAATTTTGGAGGGAAACCAAGGATATTGTTTAAAGCGACGGAACTCCGGGTGTCTGGGGGGCATTCATTTGAGAACGATCCCCACCGCGTGACCGTGTCGCGCAGCAATTCCTGTACGGCAAGGAGACCAAGTACCTGACCTACAACGACTTCATCAACAAGGAGCTCATCCTCTTCTCCAACTCCGACAACGAGCGCTCCATCCCTTCGCTGGTTGACGGTGCGTGGCTGTGGGCCTTCAGCGGGTGGGGGCGTGGGGTGGCACCTTGGTCTACAACAACAACAATCGCCACTAAGTGGCGGTGACATCACCACGGCGCTTGTGCCAGGCTAGGTGCACTTTAAGGCTCTGTGTGTCGAACGCCCGCTACCAGGAGGTCACGGGACCGACCCAGGTGCCATGGATTGACTGACTGAGATGACTGGCTGATGCACCACCTGTGCCCCCTACTGTGCCAACGTGGTCCACACACGCACGCACACTGGCACCAGTTGGCCTGTCGCTGCATGTGCACCGCGTATTTAATTGTAGTCCTATTGCCTCAAATCAACAAGGGGAGTTGAACCGATTGAAGACCCGCCCTTCCTGTTTAGGCCCCACCCTTTCCTGTCTCGGCCACGACTTTCGTGAGTGATAGCCAAGTCGCTTCTGAAAAAGAGCTACCAAAGCTCAGGGGGCCTAACCTGGTAAGTTTAATAATAGTTTAGTTCCAAGTAGTTTTGTTTTCATGGTGTGCCTCTACCCCGACCCCCATCTCCACCCCGTGCAGGGTTGAAGCCCGGGCAGAGGAAGGTCCTCTTCACCTGCTTCAAGCGCAACGACAAGCGCGAGGTGAAGGTGGCGCAGCTCGCCGGCTCTGTGGCCGAGATGTCGGCTTACCACCACGGAGAGGTGAGCCGTGGGAGACACATTAAAGGCGGAACAACCTCCCCCTGCCCCGCTCCTCCCTCCTCCTCCTGTCACACCCCGACTCTTATTTCCCCTGCAGGTCTGGGACTACCTCTCCCTTCTTCCCTTACCACCCCTTCCCTCCCCCAGATGAAAGCACATTGGCTCCCCGACGCGATTCCTTTGTGTGAAAGAGGCGATAGATGTCTAGCACCCCCGACACCCGCGGTTAAATTCCCCTGTCTTATATCGACTGGCCGCGTCGGGTTTGAGGGCCCTCAAGTTTGTCCCAGTCTGGTTTTTCGGTCACCTAAAGCGTTGTTACGGGCCTATGTTGTTGTTTCATAAAATCCTAATTTAAAAATAAAAAAACGGAACAACCTTTGCAGGTTCTTGGTAACAGGAACGTGGAATTGCCAACATTCCCTCCGGCGGCTGCCAGCAGAGGCGGGCGCTCGCGTGGCCGTTTCACTGCTATCTGACGTGGGCCGACGTTGTTCTCCCCCTCCGCGTTTTGTCGTCTTTGGCAGCAATCGCTGATGATGACCATCATCAACCTGGCGCAAAACTTCGTGGGCAGCAACAACGTGAACCTGCTGCAGCCCATCGGGCAGTTCGGCACTCGTCTCCACGGTGGCAAGGACGCCGCCAGCCCCCGTTACATCTTCACCATGCTCAGGTGACCGCCACGGCCGTCAGCGCTCTCCCCGCCCTCTCCTGCCAACGTCTCCACCACTCCCACCACTCCTCCCTCTGCTGCCTCTCTCTCTTCACTCTCACCACTTCCACTCCTGCCTCCTTCTCTGCTTCCACCACTCTCTCTCTCTCCACTGCCACCATTCCCTCTCTCTCCACTCTCATCATTGTCTGCCTCTCCACTCCCACCATTTCCTCTCTCTACTCTCACCACTCCCTCTGCTGCCCCTCTCTCTCCATTCTCATTGCTTACACTCCTGCCTCTCACTCTGCTTCCACCACCCTCTCTCTCCACTCTCCCCATTTCCTCTCTCTCTACTCTCGCCACTCCTTCTCTTGCCTCTCTCTGTCTCTACTCCCACCACTCCCTCTGTATGTGTTGTATGTCTGACACTTGTATGTGTTGTGTGTAATTTGCGTTATAAGTTTACTCAATTGGATTTACGAAGCTCATGGTCCACCCTAAACCGCATCCACTGCACAAACCATGACAAAATTAAAAACTCTCAAGTAGTGTGGGACTGTGGTCATCCAGAACGGGGACCGTACAACGTGTACCTACGCGACGCCCCAATCCACAAATTTTGAAAGAGACATCACAGCGATTCACTACTTTGCTGCTTCTTATGCGGTCGTCTGGATTGATCACCTGAATGTGAAATTGTGGTTGCCGTGCGTGGTACATCAGCCGTACGAAAAAATAAGATCTGGCTTAACAAAATTTAACTTGACTAATAGCTCCTGGATCTGTTGAGTCTTGTGTGTGACACATTCGGCGTGTGTTACAAGCGTCAAGGAGCATAAACCAATCACGCGAACTCCGGCCACCCTCGCAGCTGCAGCAGCTTTTGGCTGGCCAGCGAACAAAGACGGTCGCTGCATCGTGCGCTTTCAGATGCGCCTTGGCGGCCGTCTGGAATGCTCTTCCTTCCGATATTAGGAAGCCACTGGAGCTATGCACTTTTAGATTATCTATATTGAAAATAATTTCTTTACAACTGCTTTTTGTGTTTAGTTATGTTGTCATTTCCCCACACCTCCGATTATCGCGGTTGGCTACATCGTAACCGCCGCCGCTTCCGCCACCGGTTCTCCTGCCGCCCCCCCCACAGCCCGCTGGCACGCATGCTGTACCCGGCCGTGGACGACAACCTGCTGCGCTTCCTGTGGGATGACAACCAGCGCGTGGAGCCCGAGTGGTATTGCCCCATCATCCCGCTGGTGCTGGTGAACGGCGCCGACGGCATCGGCACGGGCTGGGCCTCGAGGATCCTCAACTACGACACGCGGGAGATCGTCAACAACATCCGGCGCATGCTCGACGGGGAGGAACCCCTGCTCATGGTGAGGACGGCGTGTTTGTTTCTTCTTTTCTCTCACCGGTGCAACCGAGCTGCGCCGGGGCCACCGCCCAGTCAGCGGTTGCTTGTAAAACTACCAGCGATGTGAGGCCACCGGTGTTGTGAGGCCACCGGTGTTGTGAGACCACCGGCGTTGTGAGACCGCCGAACCTGAGCCGTGCTGCTGACGCGCACGTAGGTGACGGGGGGGACGCAGTGTGTTTGAGTTGGGACTGACTGAAGTCGCAGGCGATGGATGCTCTGGGTCAGAAAAAATGTGCCAGTGGGAAAGGAGTCTCTCACTTTGTTCTCCGGAGTGTTCTGATCGGCCACTCCTCTATCAACCAGCCCGCCTCCCAGCCCCACGCACTCCTTCCACTCGTCTCTGTCTTAAGCAAATCTCAACCGCTCGGTCCCACCTCAATGGCTCACCCAGCGAGTGAGGAGTGGTACTGCCTCAGTGAATAAGTGAGTGGTACGGCCCCGGTGAGTGAATGGTACTGCCTCAGTGAATAAGTGAGGGGTACTGGTGAAGGTGCCACGCCGGCCTTAACGAGCACTCACTGCGTGTATTTTCCTACACTGCGCCGGCGCATTCGTCAGTCTCCACCACACTTTCTCCCGCATGCACAGAGCCACAAAAAAACATTTTCCTGCGGGCACTCGAGACCGTTATCCACGGGCACCCGTGGGCCCCGTGGTGTATCGAGAAGGACCCCGCCCTGCTTTTGGCCACGTCACTTTCATCTCTCGCTTTGTGTCTGCTAACGACAGGGTCCCAGGTACAAGAACTTCAAGGGCACCATCGATGAACTGGGGCCCAACCAGTTCCTGATGAGCGGGGAGGTGGCCGTGCTGGACTCCACCACGGTGGAGATCACGGAGCTTCCTGTGCGCACTTGGACACAGGTAACGCACACCTGGGACGCGAGTACATTGCACCTGGGCAAGAGGGTATAGGGATGCTTATACATAGGTGCAGGGATACTTGGACACGCACCTGAACTTGAGTACGGACGCCTATATAATAGGTGTAGAACATTCAATACACAGGTACAAACACTCTGATAACACTTGGACATTTGGACGTAGGTACACATATCTGGACGCAGGTACCCATATACTCAGGCACAGGTGCACACACACACAAAGGTACAGACACCTGGGCATAGGTACCACATTGTGGGGAAGTCAACAGTTGTTTTTGTCCTATGGATAGACTCACCCCCCGCAGAGGGGAATGTGCAATTTCCACCACTGGCTCTTGCAGGGCTGTAAACAGATGAGCACCAATGCCTGAATCAATGCTCATTTGAGCAGGAGAGCGCTCTGACTTCTATTGACATTGTAATGCGAACTCCAATGGTAAGGTCACTCAATGCCGTCACACGTTGGCGGAGACGGCTGCGGCCCCCCCTGAGTGGTGCGTTTGTTTACCGCTGTACACGCTCAACCGCTCGCCCCCTGTGTCTCCCTCTGCCCTGCTCCCCCCCCCCCCCACCACGTGCAGGCATACAAGGAGACGGTGCTGGAGCCCATGCTGACGGGCACAGACAAGACGCCGCCGCTGATCTCCGACTACAAGGAGTACCACACAGACACCACCGTCAAGTTCACGATCAGGATGAGCGAGGAGAAGCTCGCGCAGGCCGAAGCCACCGGGCTCCACAAGGTCTTCAAGCTGCAGAGCTCAGCCACCTGCAACTCCATGGTGCGTGCCGGGACCGGCGGCGCTGGCGGCGGTGGTGGCGGTGCTGCTGCTGCTGCTAGGCAACTTGGCGTTGATGGGCAGTGATGGATAGTGGTTGGCGGTGATGGATAGTGATGGGCAGTGATGGATAGTGATGGGCAGTGATGGATAGTGATGGGTGGTGGTGCTGCTGCTAGGCAACGTGACAGTGATGGGCAGTGATGGATAGTAATGGGCAGTGATGGATAGGATGGGTGGTGGTGCTGCTGCTAGGCAACGTGACAGTGATGGGCAGTGATGGATAGTGATGGGCAGTGATGGATAGTGGTTGGCAGTGATGGATAGTGATGGGTGGGGCTGCTGCTGCTGCTAGGCAACTTGACAGTGATGGGCAGTGATGGATAGTGATGGGCAGTGACGGATAGTGATGGGCAGTGATGGATAGTGATGGGTGGTGCTGCTGCTAGGCAACTTGACAGTGATGGGCAGTGATGGATAGTGATGGGCAGTGATGGATAGTGATTGGCGATGATGGATAGTGATGGGTGGTGATGGATAGTGATGGGTGGGGCTGCTGCTGCTAGGCAACTTGACAGTGATGGGCAGTGATGGATAGTGATGGGCAGTGATGGATAGTGATGGGCAGTGATGGATAGTGATGGGCAGTGATGGATAGTAATGGGCAGTGATGGATAGGATGGGTGGTGGTGCTGCTGCTAGGTAACGTGACAGTGATGGGCAGTGATGGATAGTGATGGGCGGTCGACACGTGTCGACAAACGTGTTTACACACGTGTTTACACGTGTTGACGCCGTTCGACACACGTGTTTACACGTGTCACCGCGCGCAGGTTCTCTTCGACCACATGGGCTGCCTGCGGAAGTACGAGTCCGTGGCCGACATCCTGCGCGAGTTCTATGAGCTGCGCATCAAGTACTACAGCCTGCGCAAGGAGTGGCTGGAGGGCATGCTCCACGCCGAGTCCTCCAAGCTCAACAACCAGGCGCGCTTCATCCTCGAGAAGATCGAGGGCAAGATCACCATCGGTGAGCTCATAACGAAACAAAAAAACGCGGCTAGTTTTTTCTTACCAGGTAAGGTCCCACTGAGCTATGTAGCTCTTTATTTCAGAAGCGGCCTTGGCCATCACAAATGATGGCCCAATGAAGTGGCTCATCATCATCAAGTGGACATTTATAGCAGCCAAATACTCTAAACACGTAATGCGGAGGGGAAAAAACCGGAGGACCAGGAGAAAATGCTATGCGACCACGGGGATAGAGAGACACACGCAAACTTCAAATATACAACAAACGTCAGGGTCGGGATCGAACCCACGACCAGCTGGGGTTGTTGCCAAGAGGGCAAATGCGATGCGATACAAAACGCCGTCTGCGGTTCCTCCTTCCTGGCACCTCCTGAGTCGTTCTCTCTATCTCCTCGAGAGCGAGTGGATACCGTGCTGCGGCGGCGGTGGCGGCGGCGTCACGTCATTGTTCATGTTTTCTGAAATTAATTGCAACTGTGCTATGATTAGTCAAATTGATCGTGACGCAACATTTTTTTGGCCTTTCGTTTGTTTTCCCTTCTCCCTGCACCTTCGATAAGCACGGTTTGGCTACGTGCGGTGCTGAAGAAGTTCAACATACACACATACAATTGTGCTATGATCAGTCTAAAAATGATCTGCCTGAGCCAACTTAATCTTCAAGGACTACATTATTGAACATTGATTTATGTTTGTCCAATAATTTAGAATTTTGATGTCCCAATACGGTCAACGTTGCGAATGAGACACCTCCTGGCCTCTTTGAGCTCTCGCCTGATTAAACAGAATCAACTGGTAACTTGAACTCACTCACTCATTGTCTCACTCAAATCAATTGCCCACTAATTCACCATCTCACCCACCCACCCACTCGGTCACTCGCTCAGTCACCCGCTCATTCACTCCGCCGTCTCGTATATTAACAGACTCGAGTTTTAGTGATCAAAGTCACTCTTGAAAGTGAGACTCTCCTCCTGGTCTCTTTGCTTTGGGGTGAAACAACATAAACGTTCAACTTTTATTTTGCGTGATTTAAACGTGTAAAATGATCTGTCTCGTCCCAACCCCCCCCCCTCCCAACTTGCAGAAAACAAACCAAAGAAAGATCTCATCCAGATGTTGCTGAAGCGCGGCTACGACTCGGACCCCATCAAGAACTGGAAAGACGCCCAGGAGAAGGTGCGGAGTTTAGACGCGAGCTGGGCGTGTGTGCGTTGTGTGTCTGTGTTTACGTGCATGCGTGTGTCTTGCTAACAGAACTTGCCCAAACAGTCTGTTGAGGCGATATGGGGGAGCGGTGGTGTGCTAGTGGCTAGCGCGCCGCGCTATTAACCCGGCAACCCAGTTAATATGTGACCGCTGCCTTTTTCATTGCTCCCGCTCTGACCGCCCCCTTGTAACGTTCTGACCCCGTGCCCCCCACTGGACATCTGTGACAAAGAGCTTCATAGCTCATCGGATTCCACCTCCAGTCTAAATAAATATTCTGATTCTGATAAAGATTCTGATTCTGACCACCCCTTTTCTGATCCATCCTCCTTCCTCGCCACGCAGGCTGTGGACGGCGGCGGCGGTGGGGGTGGTGCTGAGAGCGACAGCGACGCCTCTGACGCGGCTGGAGGCACTGGCCCCAACTTCAATTACATCCTCAACATGCCGCTGTGGAGCCTGTCGCGTGAGCGCAAGGACGAGCTCGTGAAGCAGCGTGACATCAAGGTGCCTACCGCCCACCACCCACCACCCCCCCCCTCGTCCACTGGCCACCACCGTCTCACCCACCACCCCCCCCGTCCACCACCCACCACCCACCACCCCCCCGTCCACTGGCCACCACCGTCCCACCCACCACCCACCACCCACCACCCCCCCCCCGTCCACCACCCACCACCCCCCCGTCCACTGCCCACAGCCCACCACCCATCGCCCACCACTGTCCCATCTACCGCCCACTGCCACCACCGCTGCTAGAGTTGCCCCCCTGGGCTCATCGTCGAATCAGATCGTCCGTCCATTCGACATCGGCGTCGTTCGTACAGCACAGGGCAATCACGTGGGGGCCATGCCACCACCCTGGTAAAATTTCTCGCCGGATATTTTCTATTCTATTTGAGAAGATGACGCTTGATGGGTAGCCAGCAGGCCACAGTGAGAGGTATGATGGATGTGGTGCGCCGGGTGCGAGCTTGATACATTCGGGAGCGGGAGTGTCAGCGTTACGGGACGTGGTCGTGTCTACGGGAAGCATCTCCCATTGCTGAAACTAAAACAGTTTTTTATTTCACCAGGTAAGGTCCACTGAGCTGTGTATAGCATACCTGTCAACCCATATGGTTTACCCGTATTCCTGTACAGGGAAATTGCGTTTTCTGGTCCATACGGCCACTGACAGAGCCAGTGGGGGGGGGGGGGTGTGGGGTGGCACGTGCCCCTCCCAATGATCCGATCGAAATTCCTAATTTCCCTAATTTCCATCACATCATTGGGGTTTATTAGTAATAAATCGGCATTTTGCGACCCCCCCACTGCCACTGTGTAGCATATTATTATGTGCCAGGGACTCTATGAGATGATAGGACAATAGTCTGAGTCCATAATTGGCAATAAGTAACAGCAAAGCGGTTATAAGTGACTCGCAGAATTGTGCGCAGTTGCGTTTACAGTCCACGACTTCCCTGAAGGCATCAACACCTTCAGCGAGCGCGATGCCGATCACACAACGCGGTTCGAATTCGACCCTCGATCGATGGCTGCGCCATCGCCGCACACGCGTCGAATAAAAAGCAAGGGACAAGTCCTTACTCACTAACAACTCCTTACTTACTAACAACTCCTCTATCATTTTTCATTGCTGGAGGGGTTGCCCCCCCTACCTGAAAATCCTGGCTCCGCCATTGCATACCGCATACAGCTGTTTCAATACGGGCAACATTTTAAAAATAATTTTCGTCTGTTTGTGTTTCTCCCTTGTGGTGGGACTTTGTAGGATGAACGTTGAGAATTATAAGGGGCACGGGGTGACCGATAAGGTCTGAATTGGTCTGTAATAAGGTAGGCACTGATAAGGGCTTGACATGTACGATATAGCTCTTTGTCAAAAGTGACCTGGCTATCACAAATTACAGCTCAACGAAGTGGATTCTCATCATCATCCTCCCGTGGAAATGAATAGCAGCAGCCAAATACCGTAAACTCTGTGCTGCTTCAGGCCAAGGAGCTGTTGGAGCTGAAGAGGAAGAGTCCCTCGGAGCTGTGGAAGGAGGACCTGGCCACCTTCGTGGAGGAGCTGGACGTGAGTGGAGGCGCGGTCTTCAAAGTCACTGCCAAAATAGCGGCAGCAACTAGCACCAACAGCTCGGACTGGAAGTGACGCACCCGCTTCAGCATTAACCCTGATTTGTAGCGTAAAGCAGGTGCTGCCGTGGTGTAACGGTCATCACACTGGACTAGAGTTTGCCTTCCTTTCTCTTGATATGACAGTTTTCTTTAGGTTCTGCGGTATCCTTTCGGCATTGATCCATTCACGGAAACGGCCAAAAACTCTCAATGCAGGACTCTTCCGGAAACGAGTCTTGAGACTCAAGTGAGGCTTGGCCTGGGGAAAGGACATCATCACTATCGTAATTATTTATCAGATAAACTAACAACTAAACTTTTTTATTTTACCAGGTAAGGCCCACTGAACTATATACCTGTTTTTAGACGCGACCTGGCCACAAATGATAGCTCAACGAAGTGGCTTATCACGTGAAAATTAATAGCTGCCAAATACTCTAAACGCATGTTTCTAAATATGGAGGGAAAAACTGGAGGACCCTGAGAAAAATCCAAGCGACCACGGGGAAATAGACTCGCAAACTCCAAATATACAGCAGTTATCAAGGTTGGGGATCAAACCCCTGACCTCCTGCTTACCCAGCGAGGTACTTCATATCTCGCCACTGCGGTGCCCCCATTGTGACGTTGTTCACTACGGCTTGGGGATCGTAGTCGTCATCGCTCCGAGATGCCCTCTTCAAATAATTGCTCGTGCCGCGCTTTCGCCCTCCTCCCACTGCCCGCCGTCCTCCCTTGCTCCTGCCCTCCCCTGCACCCCCCTCGCTCCGTGGGCGACAGCGAGTGGAGGCCCAGGAGCGCGAGGACGAGGTGAGCGGCATGTCCACCAAGGCCGTCAAGGGCAAGGTGGGCAAGCCCAAGATGAAGCGCCTGCAGCTGGAGGAGACGCAGCCGTCCCCGCACGGCCGCCGCGTCGTGCCGCAGGTCACGCTCGCCATGAAGGCCGAGGCCAGCAAGAAGTTGGGCCGCAAGAAGGTCAAGGTGAGGGCTTCACTCCTGCACCACCCGCGCTTTCGCGCCGCACTGGTTCTTCCGAGTGGTAAGCCGGTGGTCGTCAACGTTGTTGGTAGGGCGCCCCCCCACCCACCAATCAAGACCACTGGTCCCTGGCACCCCACCCAACCCACCGCCCGCCACCCCCTACCCACTCCCAAAACTAAATTGACTAAGGCCACAATGCACAGAGAGGTCCAGAGAGACAAAAGAGTGAATCACAATAGTTGGAGTCTGCGCTGCAATAGACATCATGAGGACCCTGGTCATGGAGACACTTTGTGGACATTTTTGTGTTTGGCAGACGGAGGGCGTCGATGGAACGCCGGTCAAGATGGAACCTGGCGAGGACGGTGGCGGCGTCGGCGGCGAAGACTCCGAGTCCCGGCCGCTGGTCCGGCGCACTGCCAAGCGGGCTCCCAAAGCGGACAAGTCCGAGCCCGGTTTGTTTCCCTTCGCGCTCTTTCCGCTGCGATCCTACTCGACCGCTAGCCGCGGCTCGCTCGCCCGGCTAGCGAGCGCTGCCGCCATGCCGGTGGGGCCGTGCCGCCGGGCACCGCCATTCGGGACGAGTGGCGTGGCCCTGGTGCCACCGCGGCGATGCCTGCACCTGGCACACGCGGCTTTGTCGGCGATCAAAGTGGCGGTGCGCTGAGAACTGTGGTGGTGGTGGTGGCCGATGGCTTAAACCCAGAATCACACGAAGTTCCGGTATGGCATTATGAATTCTCCGAGCAGTCAGGAAATACACCGTGTGCAATTCGCATACACTGTGTGTGTGTGTTAAGTTGCTTGATGTCTAAGTAACTTATGGCTGTCATTATCTCAAGTTGATACTTAAGGCCTGCCGCATACTGTGGTAATGTGTATTCATGTACATGTTTATCTCCATGGGATTCTTAGCCAGATGTGCAGAGCCTTACCCGCTCAGTCTGTCCGAAACGTGGCGAGGTTTCATTAAATTAAAGGCGCTATATTTATTTATTTGTAAGCGTGCATTCTTGTACAAAGCAATAGGGTACTACTGTCGCACTGAATGGTTATGCGAAGAATTGTATCGGCATAATTGGCCATCCTCTTTATCGACTGTTGGATAAGGTTTTACATTCACCCATGAGGCTGTCTTCCTCTTGCGTGCCTGTCGTGGCAATAAAGGATGTTTACTCTCAGTCTTTGCTGTCCTGGTCTCTGGTGCTCATGAAGGGAACAAGAAAAAGAGGCTTCTTGTTAAACTAGAGCGGCGAAGTGTCACGGCGTTGTTAACCTTCCGCAGCGAAGCAGGCGTTGCATATTGTTAGGGTTCATACCAATCTCTGTAACTAGCGGTGACCGCGCTACCACTGTGTGTGTGTACGCGTGCGGTGTGCGTACATACGGTGTGTGTACGCGTGCAGTGTTTGTACGCTGTGCGTGTGGTGTGTGTGTGTGTGGTGTGTGAGTGCGCATGCGGTGTGTGAGTGTATGCGTGTGCGGTGAGTGTTTGTGTGGTGTGTGTGCTTGCATGCGGTGTGTGGGTGTGTATGCGGTGTGTGAGTGTGTATGCGGTGTGTGAGTGTGCATGCGGTGTGTGAGTGTGTGTGTGGTGTGTGAGTGTGTGTGCGGTGTGTGAGTGTGTATGCGGTGTGTGAGTGCGGTGTGTGAGTGTGTATGCGGTGTGTGGGTGTGCGTGCGGTGTGTGAGTGTGCGTGCGGCGTGTGGGTGTGTATGCGGTGTGTGGGTGTGTATGCGGTGTGTGGGTGTGTATGCGGTGTGTGGGTGTGTATGCGGTCTGTGAGTGTGCATGCGGTGTGTGGGTGTGTATGCGGTGTGTGGGTGTGTATGCGGTGTGTGAGTGTGCGTGCGGTGTGTGAGTGTGCGTGTGGTGTGTGGGTGTGTATGCGGTGTGTGAGGGTGCGTGCGGTGTGTGGGTGTGTATGCGGTGTGTGAGTGTGCATGCGGTGTGTGGGTGTGTATGCGGTGTGTGGGTGTGTATGCGGTGTGTGAGTGTGTATGCGGTGTGTGAGTGTGCGTACCGGTGTGTGAGTGCGTGCGGTGTGTGGGTGTGCATGTGGTTTGTGTGAGTGTGTGCGTGTGCGGTGAGTGTTTGTGTGGTGTGTGCTTGCATGCAGTGTGTGGGGTGTATGCGGTGTGTGAGTGTGTGTGCGAGTGTGTGTGAGTGTGCGTGCGGTGTGTGGGTGTGTATGCGGTGTGTGAGTGTGCGTGCGGTGTGTGAGTGTGCGTGCGGTGTGGGAGTGTGCGTGCGGTGTGTGGGTGTGCGTGCGGTGTGTGGGTGTGCGTGCGGTGTGTGGGTGTGCGTGCGGTGTGTGGGTGTGCGTGCGGTGTGTGGGTGTGCGTGCGGTGTGTGGGTGTGCGTGCGGTGTGTGGGTGTGCGTGCGGTGTGTGAGTGTGCGTGCGGTGTGTGAGTGTGCGTGCGGTGTGTGAGTGTGCGTGCGGTGTGTGAGTGTGCGTGCGGTGTGTGAGTGTGCGTATGGTGTGTGAGTGTGTGTGCGGTGTCTAAGCGTGGGCGGCCGCTGTGACTATTGTAAACGACGGGGAACGGCGCGCTGCTGTGTCGATGCCGTGCTGTGCCGTGCTGCAGGCAGTAAGGCGGCGCGCAAGGGAGCGTCGTCCAAGAAGCCCAAGAGGAACCCGTGGTCGGACTCGGACGGGAGCGATGACCTGGAAGACAAATCCGTGAGCGATGCGGACGACACGAGCATCGGCCTCGTGCCGCGGGAGAACGTCCCACGCCGGGCTGCCGGTAACCGCCTCTCCGTTCGTGGTCTCCTCCTCTGAATTTGCCCCGCCGTAGTTTTGTATTTATCCATTTCACGTTGCCGTCTCCCTGCACCCCCCCCCCCCACGTTGTGTCCATGTCTTTCCTTGCCCCCCTCCTCCCTCTGTTGCTCAAAAACTAATTAATGTCTCCTGTCTGTGTCCATACCTGTTGGTGTGTGGATGTGTGTGTGTGTCCATAGTGGGGAGCGGTAGTGTAGCGGTTAGCGCGCTGTGCTATGAACCCAGCGACCCGGGTTCAATTCCCGCTCACGGCCAATACCCAGTGACGATTATCTGAACCGGTCCTGGGCCTCCCCTAGGTCGACTCAGCTTCAAATGAGTACCTGGTGCTGAGTGTAAATATCGCCACTGGAGAGACAAAGGCGGTCGGGCATGGTGCGAGCCACCCACCTTGTGTACCGTTCCGACTTTTATAGGTGCTCGCTAACAGCACTTGCCCCTCCAGTCTGTTAAGGCTATTTGGGGGGTCTTTGTCTTTTGTCCATACGTGTCGGTGTGTGTGTCCTTACTTGGTGGGGAGCAGTCGTATAGCGGTTAGCGCGCTGCGCTACGAATCACCTGAGTTCGATTCCCGCTCACGGCCAACACCAGTGACGATTATCTGAACCGGTCCTGGGCCTCCCCTAGGTCGACTTAGCCTCAAATAAGTACCTGGTGTGTTGTGTAAACATCGCCACTGGGGAAACAAAGTTCGTCGGGCGTGGTGCTGGCCGCTTACCCCCTCGTGTGGCTGTGCCGGCCTTCAAAGGTACTCACTAACAGCACTTGCCCCAACAGTCTGTAATGGCTATACGGTCCTTGCTTACCCCCCTTCTCTGTACCACCTGCCCCCCCCCCCCTGTGAAGCGATGACGCCCAAGAAGTTCACGTTTGATTTCTCGGACGGGGATGACGAGGACGAGGACGAGGTGGTGAGCAGCCCCCCGCGGAGGGTGCGCTCAAAGTCCCCCCCAAGCCCCGTGGCCAAGAAGAAGACCTCCTCCTTCGACTTCTCTGACAAGGAGGACGAGGACGACGTCACTCTGCCTCCACCTCCTCCGCCGACCAAGGCCAAAGAGGCCGTCGATCGGTACGAGCGTGGGACACAAGCATGCGCGGAGGTGGCTGCATGTGTCCTGTGGTGGTGGTGGTGATTCTGTGGGGAGAGGTGGTGTACTTGTTAGCGCGCTACGCTACAGACCCGGCGACCCGAGTTAGATTCCCGCTCACGGCTAACACCAGTGACGGTTGTCTAGACCGGTTCTGGGCTTCCCCTAGGTCGACTCAGCCTCAAATGAGTACCTGGTGTAGAGTGTAAACATCGCCTCTCGGGAGACAAAAGCGGCCGGGCGTGGTGCTGGCCACCCACCCCCTCGTGTGCTGTACAAACAAAACATAAGAAGTAGTTCTAAAGAAATTCGTTTTCAATATAGATTTAAAAGTGCATAGCTCCAGAGGCTTCCTAATATCGGAACGAAGAGCGTTCCAGACGGCCGCGGAAATGCATCTGAAAGCGCTCGATGCTGTGATCGTTTTTGTTCTATGGCTGAACCAAAAACGCTGCTGCTGCCGGAGAGTTTGCGTGATGATGGTTTATGACTCCTTGGCGATGACGACGATATCGATGGTGGCAGCTTTAACGAGTGCAGCAGCAACAACAACGGTGACCACGGTGTGTGCCGTAGGCGGGCGCCGGAGCCTCGCAAGGGCTGGAAGTCGACGGAGTTCGACTGGGACGAGGTGATGGGCACCCCCTCTCACCCGCCGCAGGCGCCCGCCGCTTCCGCCACGACCAGCAGCCCCGCCAAGCCCGGTAGCGCAGCAGTGCCCACCGCATCACTCCGTCCACAACAGAGTTCAATCATCAAACTCTTGAGATCGATCGGTCGACGGCTACATTCGTTCGTCACGCCTAGTCGGCAGAGGACGGTCACGAAACCTCTTACTTAAGACGGCATCGGCAAAGGCTGCTCTTAAGTTGCCGTTGCGGTACCCCGGGGGGGTGGATCGTGTGCGCTCTGTGCGTCCGCGAGGGTGACCACGACGGGGGACTGGCGCCGGTCCTGTGTGGGGTCGTAATCCACTTCGGACATCGACCGCTGACTGAAGTCCCGTGGCGTGCCGGGGCGGGGGGGGGGTGCGTGGGAGGGGGCGGCTTTGTGCATCGAGACAGCGGCGGGCAGCAACGTACCCACTACCTGGTGCGGTGTGCGGTGTGCGGTGTGGAAGCGTCGCTTACTCGGGAGACAAAGGCGTCCACGCATGGGTGCTGGTCACCTCGTGTGCCGTGCCATGCCGGCCTTCTTCATAGGTGCTTCTTGCTTAACAACACTTGCCCCAACAGTCTGTTGAGGCTGTCCAGTGTGATCTTTGCCTCATCTTGTATCGAGTCGTGAGCTGTGCTCCTCCGTTCGTCGCCCTCCCCCCCGCCACCACCCTGCCCCCCTCCTCACCGGCAGCGTTGAGCAGCGACGACGAGAAACCTGCAAGCACGGCCACCCCCCTCATCTCGTCGCTCGCCTCCACCAAGCCGCCCGCCGCTGCCGCCGCCACCTCCCTCGCCAAGAAGCCGGCCGCGTCGAAAAAACAGTCCCAGGCCGCCAAGGATGGTGAGGGTAGGGGGTGGAAAGGGGGGGAGAGGTGGGGAATGAATGAAGGACGGTGAGGGTGGAGCGAGGGAAGGGGTGAGGTGGGGAATGAATGACTGAATTGACTCATCTCTTACAAGTGGTGGTGGACTTGATGCCGCTGTGTACGTGTTTGTCGGGGATCCGATTCAAAATGATTGGAACAGCCCCGGGGAAATCGTCATTGCCCGTCGTCTTTACGCCCTGCCCTCAGAGTCGGATTCACAGTGTCTCCTATCTCCCTCGAGCGTGGCTTGTCCGTGCCGCACACTCCCCGGCACGCGTTGCGTTGCCGCGTCTATTAATACGGCGGGTTTATTTATTTGACTTATTTATCCCGGTCAGGAGACAAAGCCAAGAAGAAGCCCAGCGCCAAGTCCAAGAAGCCGCTGAGCTTGGACTCGGACAACGACAGCGACGAGGTCGCCTCCTCGCGCAAGCCGGCGCCGGCCGCCAAGGGTGAGCACCCGTCCGGCAATCCTCGTGTCTCCCGCGTGTCCCCTGCGTGTGTCCCTGCGGATCTCCGCTCGTCCCCGTGGGCCCCGCTGTTCATCCACGTGCCCCTTGTGTCTCCGCACGTGTGTACCTCCTTGCGTCTCACCGCTGCCTCCGACTCCACTTCCCCTGCGTCTCCGCCCCGCGGCAGGCAAGGGTGGCGGCAGCAGGAAGAGGAAGGTGGCTGCCTCCGACTCAGAGAAGTCTGACGGGGAGTACAGCCCGCAGAAGAAGGTGACGCCCAAGGCCGCCACCGCTCTCCCCGCGGCGACTGGCAAGGCCGGGAGAGGGGCCGCCGGAGGCAGCAAGGTGAGGCAGCCGTTACCGCCTGCAGCCGTGGCTACGATCGCCACATGCTCGCCGTTACCGCTGCAACGCTCTATATACCGTGAACACACACGATACATGTCCTGAACGCTCTACACCATTAACATGCACGATACGCGCCCTGACACCACGGTGAAACACACCACCACGAGCAACAAACACCGGGCACACACCCATAACTCCGACACACTGCTCATCGTAAAATCGTGTCGGCGCCGCGGACTGTAACACGATGGACCTTGGCGTGTCGTCTCGCCGACCACAGAAGGGCAAGAAGGCGGCCGTGTCGGACGACGAGGGCTCGGCAGGCGTGGACAGCGACGACGGGGTGGGGGCCGGGGCCAAGGGAGCGGGAGCCGCAGCCAAGGGGGGCGGCTCATCGAGGGGCGCCCAGCAGAGGGAGCGCCCGGGGCGCGCGCGCAAGCAGGTGAAGTACTGCGAGGCCTCGGACGACGACGACAACGACGATGACTTCTTGGGCTGAGACGTGGGACCCCCCTCCCGCGTCCATCACCCTCCCCCCACCGCCCACCTCGCCCCCCCTCCCAGCCGCCCAGCCAAGTGTTCGTCCGGGAGAGATTGGTGGGTGCCAGTCCACTCGTTGATGTCCTTTTTGCAAAAAAATATTATTATAAATCCGGGTGATGGAGGGAGAAGATGTGTGTGTGTGCGCGTGCCAGCGTGATGTTGCGCCGCGCCAACGGGGTCGGGGTTGGGTTTCAGGACGAGGTGTGAGCGTGAGTGATTGCGTGTGTGTGTGGGTTCAGCCAGCAGTATTAGTGATTGGATTAGTGTTAGGGTGTAGAGATTGGATGCGTGTTACGGTTTAGAGATGGATTAATGTTCGGGATAGAGTTTGGTTGAGGGTTAGGCGAGTGGTTTTGGGAAGCGTGATACGTGTTGGGGTTGGAGTTTGTTGTCATGGTTCGTGCTCCAGTAAGAGTCAGGGTTATAGTTAATGTTAGGGATATAGTACGGTGGGGGTGAATGTTCGGGTTAGCGTTAGCGGCTCCAGTTACGTTTGGAGATTGGGATAGAATTGGGATGAGGGTTTGAGAGTTCTAATTATAATCGTGTTTAAATTAGTGTTGGGGTTATAGTCGCGGGTGGTGTTTGTGTTCACATTCACGTCGGAGCCTGGGGTGTACGTCATACACCAGCGAGCTGCTGGGTGGAGATGGGGAAAGAGGAAGGCAGAGAGATTAAGCGAGAGCCCACGGCCGGTCCGCCGAACTGCAGGGTGCAGGTTGAACTCCCGTGCCGTGTGTCCGACAGCGCACCGCTAGCCGTGGCCAGCGTTGACTTGTGCAGAGCCGTCCTCGTGTGGCAGCCGCCGCCCTCACACGCACCCTGGGTTCGAAGCCAGGTTCACGTTTGTTTTTATTTTGTTTAACCAGTCGAGCACTCGAGAGAACGAGGTGCAGTCTCATTAGCAAGAGTGACCCGGGACATTAAGTCTGCCAGGACGGGCGACGGTCGCTTGTGTAGTATCGGCCCCAGTTGCGTAATTTACGGCATAAGATTTTTAGTTTTTTTAAATGTGGACTTTTGACTCCTGCGCACTGCAAAGCAGACGGCGCGTGGTGTTAATACTGCGTCTAAATGTGCAGCACCACCACAACCGCAGTAATAACCAGGGCGGGCCGCTTGATTCCAACCGTGAAGCTCTGCAACAAGCGAACGCGCCACCGCCAGGCCGCTGAGTCACGATTGACGGCGCCAAAAATTAAGTCCACCCCCCCCCCCATCATCGGAAAATTATGATTCGTCACTTAATTCGGCTTTGGCCCGGCTCAGGAAAGTGTAAAACATCGCCCGCTTTCCATGCGACGAACTCGCAGCGCAGAGCATACAAATCAACGGTTTTGCCGCCTCCTGGAGGGACCTCACCGAAGTCGTAGAGTTTTGCGGCCAGCTCTCCGACAAGTGGCCGCATGGCAGCACTCTGCGAGGGTTCCCCAACGGGAGCCCGCTTCGCCTGGCATGTGACAACGATATTGCACACGTGCACTATCGTTGGGAGAAGCTTGCAAAAACAATTACTTTTGTGTGAAAACCCTCTTCGCTTATCCCGTGGCTGCCCACGACTCTCCTTCTACTCCTCTTTTTTTCCCCTGGCTCTCCGTTCGCCCGCCCGCCTGCCTGTGTATGTGCGCACGGCTGCTCGGTTTCGCACACGTGGGGAGCTCGTCCGCGTTCCGAGCACCTCGGCTGTCCGACTCGTGGCACCGCGGAGTGGAGGTGAGAGCCCTCGTACACTTCGCCATCACCGCCCATCCACTTCCGTCAAACAAACGTCTGTCTGATAATCTGCGCTCAAATGAGGATTGAGGCATTGGCGTTCATCTCCCGTTTACAGCCCCCCCCCCCCCCCGAGCCATTGATGGAAGTTCCACGTTCTTATGGCGACGGCGGCGACGAGTCTGATCCGCAGGACAAACCGCCATTGACTTGCCCACGAAGCGGCACTCTCGTCTGCCGCTGTGCAAGCGATGGCGAGCGGTGTGCCCACATTCCGAGCGTGTTTCGTTGAGAGCTTCGCGCACCACCTCCGATTGCATCGCTCGGCTTAATTCTGTGGGACGTGTGACGATTTATCGCCGTTCACTTTCATCGGCATCCAAAGTTTCCGTAATCCTGCATGGGGTTTTCTCCCCTGGGGTTCTCCGATTTCCTCCCATAGCTGATAGCCAACATGCAGAGTGTAACTAATTGGTGATTGGCCAAACACACCCCAGTCTCACAGGAGTCTCCTGAAAACAAAAACGGTCTGCGGACTCTTCAGGCGGTTGTGTGGCTTTTCCCCGAGTGAATCGATTCAACCTCTTCTGTTGCTGTCAAGTGATCGCGATCTCTGTTGCTTCTCTCATTTGCACCGAAAGTGGCCACCTTTTTGTACAAGCAACTAATGAAATATATGGATATATTTAACAACTTAATTGTTAACTCTTTGTCAAGGCTACGTTCGGAGCCGGGGTGGGGAGTGTGGGGCAGTGCAGTAAAATCCGCCGTTGTACTCTACTCCGCTCCCAACACCTACGCTCCTCCCCTGCACCTATGCGTTGCAATGGGCCAGCGGGGTGAAGTATGCCAGATAGCCCCCCCCCCCCCCCCAGCACACACGGTGTGGGGAAGCTCTCCTCATCCAGCAATGGATTGCAAATGTGGGGCCACGCATATTGTTTCTGCTATCACTTGGGGCTTCATACCAGCTACCTCCAGCGCGCGTACACGCGTAGTCATGTCGATTACGTTGGAAGCATCCCCTGCGGGGCAGCGCTGCGAAGGTGAATGAAATAGATATTGTGAATTAATATTTATCCAAATTGAATGAGTTGATCTTTAAATGAATTCATAGCTAGGTGGAAGTGAATCGCCATACCGCGTCTGCGAAATGAGGTGAAGTCCCCCAACCATCAAACGCCACCATCGGTGTGACGCTCCTTTTCCCCTCCTGCCGTACGAAAGAAGAAGTTGCAAAAATTACTTTGGTCATTCATGAATGAAGAGTAACATGTCAAATTGAATCAAATTGAAAGTAAGCGATCAATCGAATCTCAATGAAAATGAATGAACCGGATATCTCCGATCAAACAGATCTTGGTTAAAGTGAATGGGTTGAATCGATCTCTAAATGAAAAGCTGTACTGTATATGAAATCAAATTAATAGAAAAAAATTAAGATCAGTCGGATCTCGATGAAAACGAATGAACCGTATATCTCCGATTGAACAGATCTCGGTGAAAGTGAATGGATCGAATCTGCATGATGCTAATTCCTTAGACGTCCTTGGATGTGAGAGCCGGTGATTGTGAATTGCCCGTCGGCGGAGTTCTCTCTCACACGCCCGTTGGCCGTGCCGTAGCCAACGTCTCGCATGTCTCTGTGGATTTTTGTCTCTCCTCTCGCGCAGCCCTGAGATTTTTTTTTTTTACGAGCGATGATGTTGGCGCCATGAGGCAGTGCCAGGAATGGGTGGTGGTGGTGGTGGTGGTGACGACATCAGCATGTGTGGCGACATCAGCATGTGTGGCGTGGCGACATCACCATGTGTGAGGACATCTACATGTGCGCGTACGGGGGTTTTGTCTTTTGAAGGTTCCCGTTTTACGTTTGTTTGATTTTTTATATTTTTGTTTCATACTCCCCGAACGTTTGCGTGTGCGTTGCCGTGGTTGGTTGTGCGTCTCGTACGAGGATGTCGCTGTGTGCCGCTGTGTCCCGCTCGGTGGCGCGGTGTGCCGCTCTGTGACGCTGTGTGCGGTGCATAATATACACACACACACAAATGAAATTGGTGGGGATTGTTCAGGAGTAGTTTGTGCCGAGTCGCGCCGCGCGTCGTTACGCACGGCCGATGTCCGACGTTTTGCTCCCATTGCTTTGGAAGCTTCTCGAGAGAAATGCAATTGTTCCGTTTTCGCTCCCACGCGTCCCGGATCTTGCTCTCTGTTCCCGACAGCCTTGTGCCGAACTGCAGGCAGTCCCCGTGTTACGGAAGACTTCGGGAAATCCGATGCTCCCATAAATCATGTTTTCTATGCTTCGTGGTATTCATAAACAATTGGACACAGTGCAGTATATGTTCCATGAGTGTCATTGTGGGTAGTTTTAGGGTAAGATATTCGATTAAATTCAAGAATCATAGGGAGTGCGATCTTTACCGTATCGCTGAACGTACGTTCAGCGATACGGTAAAGATCGCGATAGAAAACGGATGACAGCGCGATGCAGCACTGAGAGAAAACGGCAGGGGGGAGACTATTTCCGGCTATGGGATTCTATCGTTGATTTTGGGGGGGGAAGTATTCGCTTTCCGACGTACGGAAAACTCGGGTTACGGATATCTCCCGTGAACCTCTAACCCTTCCGTAACCCGGCGACCGCCTGTACTCGCGTAACGACCCCAAGACGCATCAGTCGATCGGAGTAGATGGAGTTGCCATCCCTTTCCTTCCTCGTTCACCTCGCTCCCTTTTAAATCGGTTTCAAGCTGACATTCCATCACCGAGTGGAGGCTATCGGCTTCCCTCGGAGTCCTCCAGTCTTAATAATAGGGGTTTTCCCCTTTTTTCTGGCAACAAAACTGAAACCCTTTTTTACGCCTTTTTGCGTCCTCTGGTCGAGCACCAATTGGGTCGAGGCTCAAAAGAAAGCCATCCCTTGGTGTGGACCAATCAGTTTCAAGGACAATGCATATATTATCAGAGTGTGTTTTTTGTTTGCATTTGACTGCAAGCATTGTGGTTAATGCAGACATGAATCCTTGTAAAAAAGGGTTTCAGTTTGGGTTGCCAGAAAAAAAGGGGAAAACCCCTCTTATTATATTTTGGTATATTTTGGTACTGGCAAAGGAGGTCTAATGATGTAGATCCTCCAGTCTTGTCAAGCCATCATGTGCATCGTCGGCCACGGTTGGTCCACTGCCTTCACACTATCCTGCGATCCAACAATCCGCCGAGAAACCTTCACGCGCGCCGATTTCATCGCTCCATCTCTAATGAAGGGCGTGCTCTTGTTGCGCTTTGCATTCCTTGGCCCGCCCGCTCCCCCCTCTTGTGCGATTCTCGACCACCATCGGCCATCGTTCCTTCTGACGTGTCCTGTGCAACCCCCCACCACCACCACCAACTGCTGTTCCTAACAGTTTTAATCAGGTAAGTAACCTGTAACTAATCCGCGTGCTTTCTCCTTCCCTCAACGTAAATCCAAGCTTGCGTCTCCCCCTCCCACCCCCCTGTCCCCCACCCCCCCTTCTCCCACCTCCGCCTCCCACACCCACCCTCCCACCACACCACTTTGCGTGCGGATCTCTGCTCCTGCGCGCAAACCCATCTTGCTCCCCTGCCTGGTGGCGTGGGTGGCGTGGGCGTTCCCCGTAAATAACTCTGTAAGTAAAAGAAATAGCTACTACAAGTCCCTAATAACTATAACGACGACGCATCACTTTATTTAATGAAAAGGACCCGAACTCATCCCACAACACCCCCCGACACCCCCCCCCCCCCGTGTCTCTCTCTCTACCCTCCTGTCCTACACGACCAGCTGGTAGCGTGAAAACGGCTCGCGCCGCCGTCTCGGCATCCGTTAAGAGGATTTCCCAAACTCTGCAAAACGTCGGGAGCGTCGGAACTTTTTAACCTAGTTAGGTAAGCCACCACGCGCGCCTGGTTGTGTTTATAATAACAAATGTATCGCTTTTTTTTAAGTCACCGCGTGCAACATGGGTCAATGTTTGTATCATGATTACTATGGAGTACTGTGTCGTTTTACTTTTTAATTTGTTTTGCATCCATGAAGTTTTTAGATGAACTGTCGTCGGTTAAGCACATGTTAAACGAAACTCACGTTGCGTTTTTATCCCGTTTTACCGCGTCGGGTCGGGGGGGGGCGGGGGGAACGGTGTCCGTGTGCGTTTTGAATAGTAAATTCCGGATGATGGCTTAATGAGCATTCCCACATGTCTCTATTAAATATGTTTGGTTCTGTAAACGTCCCGCGCGTGGCCTCTTTCCTTGCCTTGCCCCTAAGACGGCCAAGAGCGTTGGCAGCGATCGCAAGATGGGATTGCTCACACGGGAGGGGGGTTTGCGACTGTGAATCGCGGGCAATCGGCTTGCAGCGAAGAGAACGACGAGAAATGCCACGGAAGGTTTAGGATCGCCTTGGAGGAGTCGCTGGAGGATCGTGGCCGCATCCACCGAGGATCCCCTGGACAGCCTCGCTGGACAAACAAATCGATCTTCTAGAATGCGGAGGTGTGGGGGTGGTGGGGGTGGTCCTTGGGTGAGACGATCAGGAAGAGGAAGATGGCGATTGTTCCTGGGACCACGTTCTGCGGAAGTCCAGACTGCCTGGAGACTGCCTGCCTGGAGATGGTCAGTCGATCCTCCACGCAGGGAAGGTGGGGGGGGGTCCCTTGAGTCAATCATGAAGATAACAATCATTCCTGGGAGACGTCCTGCCGAGGTCCGGAGACTGTTTCGAGGCGATGGTGAACGAAGAACTGGGACTGACGACGCTGCTGTTGCTTGGACAGGCCCTCGTCTCGTCCTTCTGGCGTATGGCGTGTGTACATGATGCAGTTCCACCACTGGACGAGAGGATTAGGAATAAAGGATGTACAGGGGGTTTCAAAAAGACTGACCCAATTTCAAAGCAGTATATTTCACGATGGCAACATGCTACAATTACACAATAAGTTACAAACGGTTTAACGAGTTATCAAGTTTTACTAGCCATTTTATAAATGCTTTGTGCCCTCCACCTGCTGTACGGACAACATCGAGACGATAGTTGAATTCGTCTTAAACGCCTCTCAAAGTGTCTTCTAATGAAGTCACCGCTGCCGTGATTCTGTTTTGAGGTCATCCAGATTAGTCGCTAATTGTGGCACAAAAACACGGTTTTTGACGTGTCCCCACAAGAAACAGTCGCAGGGTGTAGTGATGTCCGGGGGTGATCTTGGGGGCCAGAGGCATCTTGCGGTAATCATCTGAAACTCTGCCCCGCCCTCTCTATGCCCCACCCTTTCAAGTGGTAAGAGTTTCATTCATGGGCGGTTCGTGGTTGCAGAGATGTAGCAATTTCAAATCCGGTCCATCTGTTTGAAACACCCTGTATTTGAGTCTCCTGCAGAGGCAGCGTTCTCTCAATGCTTATTGGGGCTTTGCATTGAGCGGGAGGGAGGGGGGATCCCAGACACAGCATGAAAGAGAAAGAGACGGACGTGGAAACGGGTTTAGATTAAGGAAACAAGAGTAAGTTGTTGTATGTGTTGGGATTATGAAATTTTGATAAAAATAATAAAAATTAATAATTTTCCGAAAAATGCGCAAATCGCATTAATTATGTTAATGTATGTATTACTATGCATAAATTATGATAATGCATGTAATTATATGCATAAATTATGATAATCACGGAGATAACCGTAGTAATTTATGCGGATGCTTGCGATTATGTTACTGTGTGCAGTTGTGATAATTAGGCTCGGTTTCGTTTATCCAGGGTTATATCAATCAGGATAACACGATTATCATCGATTAAACATTTGCTGATTATCTTAGTGTGTTTATTATTTTTAGGTCACCAGTTTCAGATCTCATCACAGGATACAGCTATCAAGAATAAGACAGTTTTGCATGGACTTGGAAAGAAGCACTCGAACAGTTGGTGTTAAGCAATTTTAATTCTAAACAAGCACATGACACTCTAGTATGCGAAAGCGAGTATACGTCAATAAATTCCTGGGCAATCTTATGCAATTAACGAAATTAAATGACTAAAAATACTTCTTCATTGGCGAAATTATGCAGTTAACGAAAATGAATGACTAAAACATTTCTTATTCATGTAACTCGACGGCAGCAACTGCTTTGCACGATCAGTTGATATTGAACGCACCACCTCGAAATGGCAACCCTTTTTGAAACGCAAAGACAGTTTTTCTTTTAAAGTCTTATTCGTGTGCGTGCTGTGTGTGCGTTGTCCCCTTGTAATATCAATTAATTCTTAGAGTCGGGAGTTGTGTCGTTAGCTTGTGTGGTGTGGGAGGATACGAACAGCGGCCAGAAGTTTTCTCTGGGTTGGGCGTGGCCGCCGCTCTGCTCCTGCTGCTCCCTCGCTCGGCGTGTCGCTCGGCTTTTGCTCTCTCTCTCTCTCTCCACTGCTCGATGACGAGTCGGCACGATGCTGTCCTTGAAGATGCTCGGTCGCTCGTGTCGCTCGGTGTCGCTCGGTGTCGTTCGGTGGCGCACGGTGGCGCCCGGTGGCGCACGGTGGCGCAAGGTGGCGCACGGTGGCGCAAGGTGGCGCTCGTTCAGCGATCTCCGCCTTTCCTGCGGGTTGTTCGCTGGTCGTCACTCTGACGAGGAGCGATGCTTCGTTCGTGGCAGGGTGGACGTTGGCGTCTTTGTTGGCTTCACTCGCAGCTCTGCGACTCAGGGTAGCGATTCTTCTCAGGTGGTGCAGACCTCGGCTTGTAGCTACGCGTCGCTACTCCGCAAACCTCGTCATTCTGAATGATGAAAACTTCTTGACGATCTGTGGTGGAGCCGAAGATGGGCTCGTGGCCCGGATGATCTGTGTTGGAGCCGAAGCCCGGATGAGATCTGCTTTGTATGGATTTTCCTTCGGTTTATATCGGAAAATTCCACTCGGCTTCCCGAGTTGTTCAAAGGCTGTGTCATAAAACCCTCCTGTGGGCTGAACCATCTGCGTTCGTTGTGTGTGTGTCCGTCCGTGTGTTTCGCGTGCGTGTTTGTCCGTGTGTTTATTAGCTTTGAAGACACAGCTGTGTCGTTCTGGAAGAAAGGGGTGGGGGTGGGGGCCTCGTGACGGCGCCATCGAAGTTATCCATTAGCCAGACTGATGATTCGCGTCGAGTTATAAAAAAAACATTCGAATCCATGTTTTGTTACTGAATAATATTTGTCGCGAAAACCTATGCGTTAAGCGAGCTTAATTATTCCCTCCCTTGCTCTGGGATCACATCCTTTGTCTCACACAGCTTAAGTTGGTTTGGTTTGGAAGTTGTAATGCGACTTATTTGCTGCTTGGTTATGCCGAAACCGTGTTCACGATGTTTCATCGTGACCCGATCTCTCATGGAAATGTTATTTCCTCGCGTGTGCAATTTTTGCTGTCCGTGTTGTGGGGAGACAAAGGCGGTTGTTTCCACGGTGGGAGCACCCGGCGCATGCGCTTATTTATTCGAAGGCGTGTGTTAATTTCCTTTGAGCCCTTGCCCCAACCTTTTATGGGTGTCATTTCCTGGCTTGGTGCCTGTGTGTGGAGATCCTCTTGGAAAGACAAAGGCGGCCGTGTTGCTCGCTTCCCATGGGTGTTGTGTTTGGTTAATTTTGAGAGCCTTCTCCGCCCTTGATTCCTCTTCTACTTTAATTCCGTACTTATTATTTGACTTCTTGTGATTCTTTAATCTGATATCCCGGCTTATCTTTGTTCAGAATATAATTATCTCTTCCTTCATGGTGCCTGGTTTGAGGTTTTTTTTAACAAAAGGATGTCCTGCTGACCCCCCTGCCTGCCATTCCCCCCTCCCTTGTTCCTCTTGTGTGAATTTAGGGGAGTTTTTATTACCTTATTGCCCCCCCTTTCATGTCCTCTTTCCTTTCAAATGAAGTGTGCGCGCATCTGCGGTAGTGTGGGGGCCTCTGTGGAAGTGTGGGGGCGTGTTCGTTCCCACGTGGCCGTGTCTATTAAAAAAAACGATATTATCTATGTTGGCAGAATAATTCTTTAAAAAAAAATAATATAAAAAAAAATAGAAAAGGGGGTACATACACAACAGTCCGCCCGTTTGAAAATTATCAGGGGTCGATTTGGCCACTGGCGAATTTTCAAACAAAGTAATGCCCCCTTTTTATGTCATGCATCTCATCAGCCGCCCTTACTCTCGGCGGTTATTTCTTACGACGCGCGTGCACGTATTACAATCTTAACCTGGTTACATCTGAAATAAGAAAAGAAAATAAACAACACGTTAAACATTGATATTGCGTTACATCGGTTCTCATACATCATAACTCCGGCGAATATTCATTTTTGTTTTTGTTAAATCCTGGTTACATTTGAATTAAGCAAAGAAAATAACAACACGTTAACATCGATATTGCGTTACATCGGTTCTCATACATCATAACTCTGACGAACATTCATTTTTGTTTTTGTTAAATCCTGGGAAACGCTAGGTAGCGGTTTCGAACGCATTTATGCGTTACCTTCCTCATGTTGCCTGGTTTACCACTTATCACTTTGATAATTTGATCACGGTTTTCGGGTTCGTTTTTGTAGTTTCCTCTCTCACTCTCTCGCGTCGTGGGAGTGTGTGGTGAAAAATTGTGCTGCACGTAACCAGAATTCGCGCACTCGACCCACTTTGACACTTGGTTCGTGGCATTCGCTCTCTCTGCGATTACATGCACATTTGCCGAGTCAGTGTGTCGATTTAATTCTGTCCCTCGTAATGTTGCCCTCTTTGTTTTTACGAGTGTGTTGGATTTCAACACCATTCCCGATACGTCATGGACATTCGTCTCCATTTTAGCACTCCGATCCACGTAATTTTTGGTTTCCCTTGGATATTTTCCATTCAAAGGCTCATGCCTGCGCTCCTCAGGGCGTGTCCCTGCTGTCTGTTTTTGTACTGTCCGATCACACTTCAATTCAGCCCTGTCACTTGCAGCCTGCTTAGGGTTTAACACCTCGGCGGGTGGGGCGCGTGTTGGCCGCTCGCTCGCACTGTGGATGGTTCATCATGTATTTGGGCCGCATTCTGTGTTATTCTTCTATTCCCCCCTGGTATAGCCGGTTTTTGACCTCCCATCCTGCGATTCTCGTACATGTTTGCATCCATACCTCCGCGGTCTGTGTAACACCTTCCCGCTAGGTGGTTATCTTCCCATCTCTGTGCGTAATTTGAA